AACCAGATTAAAAATAGTTTAAAGGTCAAAAAAATATTATTTTATTAAAAATAATTAAAAATAAAGAAATTATTTGATTTTAAAACACATGCTTTCAAACATAATTCAATCCGAAAATACATGAATCAAGAGTCCTTTTAATGAATTAATTAGCCAATTCTTTAAATTTTGTTTGAAATTTGCACTTAATCAAAAACAACAATATTAATATTATTAGATGACAATCCGAAATTATAATGAAAATCTTATAATTTGATTATATGGCCGGTTTATGATTGGGACCCCTTTATAATTACACAAGATCATAATAATTTTATATTTTTAACAAAAAAAAATTAGATTGGTGATTAAAAAAAGAGGCAGCTACAAAAAGTTTAATTAATTAAAGATTGTATGTTAGTTACCATAATTATTTTATCTCCTCTCAATATTCATCTTTGGCTTATATGTTTTAAGATTTAACTTTTATTTAAAAGTAAGTTTATACTAGCTACAAGAAATATGCACATTGTTAGCGCGGAAAATCTGCTATCATACATATAAGATAGCGAATTCACTAATGCTATGACATCGGCAGCTATGGTAGGTGTTAGACATACGATTGCATTTTTTTTAATGCTACGATATATACATATACTATAGTAATATTTAAACGCTTTTATTTATTTTTATATGACGATAAATCCATGCTATGATCTATCATTTTTTCAATGCTATAATATTCAATGTTATGACTCTTATTTTATGTATTTGTATTAAGCTATTTACATTTTATGGAACCTGTTTAATTTGCAAAATATCCAATATATATATATATATATATATATATAAACTTCCAAAAGATCAAACATCAATTCATACATAACACAAGTCTCAAACCAATACCTAAACTAATATCCTTACTTCTATGTACTACTTTTGCAATTGGAGAAGTTGGAAACAATTGATGAGATCATGCAAAATCCTTACTTCGTTTTCTAGATATTGGACTCGGTTCCTCAAGGAAGTTAGCTCAGCTTCATAGGTTGTTGTTGTAGGCTCTTTCTTTCTCATAGGTTTTCTCCAAAGTACTGATGCGCTTTTTCTTAGACTTTCCCCAAACACTGTTGTTTTCTTCATCTACTTTCACTGTACTCAACGACTTCCGTAATCTCTGTTAGAACATGAAATAAAACAAGTAAGATTCTGGTTTCTCGACTACAAACTTCTTGAGTCACTTTATTAGCAAACAAATCTCTTTACTCACCTGAAAACGCAACTTGCGACTGAGACTTATCTTTATCTTGAGAAGAGACTAATTCCATATCCTTTATACCTTTACTTTCTCCAGGAAAAGAAAGTTCAAGACCATCACTTGTATCTAGCATCGGCGATTCATAGACATAACTCGAAAACCACGCTTACTTAGATCAGGAACTTCTGAGAATTCCGAAAACAGAAGTGAAGAACCACATAAGTGAAATCAATGCAACTAAAACAACAAGATATAAAAATCTTCCCACCTAGCCAAGCAAATTCTGAAAACATATTCCAAGAAAATGAGTTACCTTCACTATCATCCTTCACTTAATTCTCTCTATTCGCTCCTCTTTCACCTCAAAATCTTTTGTATAATCCAACGAATAATCAAATGCAAAAACATGTAATGTATGTGAGTACTAATTAGTTAAGTCTCAAACTTATCTTCTCCTTTGTTTAATTCACTACAAGAAAACACTGGCAAAACCAACGGATTTAGTAACGAACTCATATCCGTCGGTTTTTACTGACATTAAACAGACGGAATAACGACGGAATTATTTTCATCGGGAATCCGTTGGTAATTACCGACGGATATGAGTTTGTCGGGAGTTTTTCAACATTACCAACGGAATAGCGACGGATTAATTTGTGTCGTCAGTAATCCGTCGGTAATTACCGACAGTTATAAGTTCGTCGGGAATATTCCAAAATTACCAACGGATTACCGACGATACATAAGAATATCGTCGACTACTGTCTTATAAAAATGTATAAACAATTATCCAAAAGTTCCGTCGGTTAACCGTTGGTTTTAACAGACGGATTACCGACGGTTACCCAACGACTTTTGTTTTAGGGTATCGAAAGTACAAATTAATTAGCCTAACATGTTTGCAAATGTTCATTGATGATTTCTAAATAACTTAGAGAATAAAAACTATTTTCAATTGATTGCTATTTGTTGGTTTTCTAGATTCGAAATGGTTTTACCACAAGTACTCTTAAACTTCTAAGGTAACTTATGTAATTGTTTTAAGTAGATGACATTTTTATTTTTTCATTATACATTTTTTTGTAAATGAGAGTAAAATAGAGACATATGTATACTTAAATTAGTTTTATTTTAATGTTATCATTGATTGTATTGGTCATTTCATTTTGTTTATATGAAATTTTAACTCTTTACCCTAAACTTACCCTAACCGGAACCGGTTAATGAATGATATAAACCGACGGTTTCCCGACGGAATAATAAATTCTGAATTATATCCACGGTTTCCCGACGGAATAATAAATTTTAACTCTTACCCTAAACTTACCCTAACCGGAACCGGTTAATGAATGATATAAACCGACGGTTTCCCGACGGAATAATAAATTCTGAATTATGGCCGTTTAAATTGGTCATTAGAAGGGCATACAAAATTTCGAAATTAATTGATAAACCGTTGGTTTAACCGATGGATTACCAACGTATCTCAAAATTGAACCCGCCAAATAAAGTTTTCCCAAAACTATTGAATAGCGCGCCATTTAATATTTGCCTAGTTTCCATCATCGACGGTTAACTGTCGGTCTTAAACCAAACGGAATACCGACGAATATATTACTGACGATATTGATTCGTTGAAAGTTCGTCGGGAATATAACCGTCGGTAATCCGTCGAGCTCCCCGACAAAATACCGACGGAATTTGTATTACCGACGCTCTAGAACCGACGACCATATTTTGTCTGTAAATCGTCGGTTATGGGCCTAACCGACGGATTATCAACGGTTTTGTTCGTCGGTTACACGATGTTTTCTTGTAGTGATTGTTGTAGACATGTATTTGTATTGCAGTTCTTGTTGCATCAAGGAGTCATGATAACTACACAAATCTATAAAACTCACCTTGGTAACTCTCGTGCTTCAACTTCACAAAGAAAATCTCAGCTGCGACAAGCTGCGAAAACACAAATATCAAATTCATCTCTAGCAAAACACTCAAAACCCGTAAAACAAAATAAATCTAGTGTCTGACCCTTACTTTTTCCTCTAGGTGCCTAGACAAAAGCTTCCAAACGATGCCTCCATCTTGATCACTTTGTCTCCTTACCTGCAATACATAATAAAGGACGAAAAAACAATGGGAAAGACGTGACATAATTGATGAAGGTCAACGATGGTGCTGTCGTGATCTTGTTTACACACAGACATACTTTCTCTTGGTGATATTTGACTCAATTTAACATTCTCATCATTAAGTATTTGTAAAACGAAGCAACCTTAACGACTGTGTGGAATGTATGATCGAGGAGCCATGGCGACTGTGTGGAAAGTGCTTTGCATGTATTGACGACATGAATGCAAGATCTTCACTAGTGCCCTCCAAGATGTCTTGTAGGGACGCACATCTTTGAGGAAAGCAAAAGTAGCAGCCATTGATAAGAGTAAAGGTATACACGTCCGGATTTATGAGCTTTTGAGTTTTGTGATAGGAATAGGTGTATAGTAGTAGAGTATATATAGGGACAAATAATTAGGTTATTATTGCGTAGTCAGTAAATGGTAGAATTTACGTGAAGACATATTTTGGAAGAATATCTTTGAATTTGTTATTTTTGTTAGGAATATACCAGTTTTATGCTATTTAAATTCTGAAATTGATTTGTTAAAAATTAATGTGGAAGAATTTTAGGTATATATTGGAATGAAGATATATTTTCGATGGTCAATATAAAGAGATTTCGTGGGTTATTAGGTGTTATAGAGATCTCGGTAATTTTGTTTATGGTAGTTTAGATATCTATGATAGAATTCGGAGATATATTTTACGAATATTAGTGGATTGATTGGAGAGAGTTAATTTTTTGAATTAATTGTGTTGAAAAATAAGTAAGTTAAGAGATATTGTATTGTGATTCCGTAAAACGGTTTCTTTACGAATCTTATTTTCCTTAAATATAATTTAGAGATATTTTTGGGAATTTTATTGAATTGATAGGAGGGAGTAAATTTTTTTGAATTTAATGTGGTTTAATTTAAGAAAGTAAATTATTATTGTCATATTAATTAGGCTAATAAACTGCATTAATGAGTTGGTTTTTATTTCTTAAATCTGATTGCTAATATTGTCTCACTAATTAATGCCGATTACAACAACAATTTGTAAGAGGAAATTTCGGAGGTATCCGATTGCAACAAAACGGGGTCAAACGCATGGAAAAAAACCGACTCACCAATGACATAAGTTGTAAATACTTCCCAACCCCTGGATTTATTTGCTAAATGTACTCTAAAAATGTAAATAGAGATGGATGTTTTATTCATTCGTTCTTTAAAATTTCCAAATAAACTATGTCATAATACTATATTAGCTACATTTTTCCAGTATACTTTTGATTTGTTGATATTCTGCTTTGATTAACTTCAAAATTATATTGTTCAAGTTTCTAAAGAGCACATAAAAACATTTTGCTTTCTAATCACAAGACAATGCAATGGTGTGAATAACATAATTATTAATCCAATATCTTTTACCCTAATCGCTATATCTTTTACTCAAACCGAACCAATGAATTGGTATAAGAGATCAATTTCACTTTGGATTGATTCTGTGTCTAAAACATGAGTTAACCAAAGAAATTGTATTTGAAGTTTGAACCAAGCAAGCTCGTTTCTTTCATCTATTTATGTAAAGGGGAAAATGTTTAACTATAAAGTTGCAACTTCTGCACTTTAAAGAAGAGAAAAATGTTGTTTAAGAAAGTTATAATCTCCAAACATATCCTTTATTGTTCAACAAGTAGACTTATCGAAACCCGAGTGAGAAAACAGTTCACTGAAATCTTGTTTCGACTCAACACAATGTAAGGTCTTCTCCTGATAGATTTCAAAGCTTGATGATAGTGAAGCAAACTTGCTAGCTTCTGAGTCATTCACGCCAAAGGGTGAATTACCATCTTCAGTATCCTCGTTTTTACGCGGAAATTTCCCTTTGATCGATATGTTGGAGTGTGATTTACTTCTTGGGGAAGAAGGTAATGGAATGAACCTGGTGTTACTGCAACTAATAGACTTGTCGAAACCCGAGTGAGCAAGCAGCTCACCGAAGTCTTGTTTTAACTCAACACAATGTAAGCTTTTCTCATCCGGAGAGACTTCAAAGATTGATGGTTCCAAAACAATCTTCTTAGCTTCTACTGAGTCAGACAGTGGATTATAGTCTTCAGTGTACTTCCTTTTACGCGCTAATTTCCCTTTAATCGGTCTGTGAACTCTTTTGTGATTACCTAGAGCTTGAGAACACACAAAACTCTTCCCACATATTTTGCAATCATAGCTTGATTTGCTCTGATTTTTTCTCTGCAATTTACTTCTCAGAGTAGAAGGAAATGCACCCGAATGAGAAAGCAGTCCACCGAAGTCTTGTTTTAACTCAACACAATGTAAGATGTTCTCCTCTGGAGAGAATTCAAAGCTTGATGGTTGTGAAACAATCTTCTTAGCTTCTAATGAGTCTAACAGTGAATTATCATCTTGAGTACGCGCCAATTGCCCTTTCATCGATCTGTGAAGTTTTGTGTGGCCACCTAGACCTTGATAACACCCAAAACTCTTTCCACATATCTTACATTCATAGCAGGAGCTACTCTCAGGTCTTTTCCGCGACTTACTTTTCCGAGGAAGCAGTTCGCTGAACTCTTGTTTCGACTCAACACAATCTAAGATCTTCTCCTCCTTAGAGACTTCAAATTTTGATGGTTTTGAAACAATCTTCTTAGCATCTGATGACTCAAACAAGGAATTATCATCTTTAGTATACTCCCTTTGACGCACTAATTTCCCTCTAATCGGTCTGTGAACTCTTTGGTGACCACCTAAAGCTTGATAACACCCAAAACTCTTGCCACATATAATGCATTTACGACTTGAGTTACTCTGCAATTTAGGTAATGCTTGAGCAGCAACAACATCACTGCAAGTTGTAGACTTTTCGAAACCCGAGTGAGAAATCATTTCCCTCAAGTCTAGTATCCACTCAACACAATCTAAGATCTTCTCTTGTATAGGTGTGAGCTGATCTAAATCCTTGGTTTCATCATCATCATTAGGAGGCAAATCAAAGTCATAAACTTGTTCAGAAAACATAACCAAGCTCGTTGCAGCTTCATCCATCTCATTCTCACGATCCTCAACAATCTCAGTCATAAAAGATGGTTCTTTTATTGACATTGAAACCAAGCAAGACCTCAAAATCCTTATCAAATAAAGCAAACACCAGAATGAATCCTCTAGTAACCACACACACGAAGACTCCGAGACATTTTGACTACAAAGATGAAAACTTTCATCTGATTGAACCTGTCCAGCATCAAATACGTTAAACCCACAAGAATCAAACACAGGAAACTGAGAAGACAATACTCAAATTGTAAAAAGTTGTAAGCTTTTTTTCGTTTACGTTTCTCAAGAAAATAGAGGAAGAATCAGAAGAATTGAGAAAGATGAGAGCTTTGATTAGCTTACCAGAGCAAAACCCTAACTTGATTTAGGTATCACGGCTTGAATCGTTGAGCTTGATCTGCAGAGAGTCTAGCTCTCTCTCGCTCAGCTTCTTACTCATAGAGACTGATGAAAAAATTACTTGTTGCGGAAGCTATGAAGGCTATTTGCAAAGGGGTAGTTATCTCCTACACTCGCGTCTACAATTAACTTCGTGCTCCCTAGTTGCTATGGTTTTGGTATCTTTTGGACCGGTAATCTACCTCGGTCAGAAACCGGTTTGTGATTTATCCCGAAGAAATTACCATATTTTCTTAGAATGTCCATTTCGGTACGGGTATCGAAATGGGAAGTAACGGGTAAGGATCGAGAGCGGTTAATTTGGATATTCAAATTCGGATAACAAGATGGGTTTGAGAAATTTGGGTAGAAATAATCACTACCAAACTTTTACTAATTTGAGTAAGGGTCAACTTCGAGACGGATTCGAGGCGGGTAAAGTTTTGGAAAAGGTAATTCGGGACGGATATGGGTTAAAACGGATTTTCCGAGCCAAAATGGACATGCCTACCTATTCTATGCGAGAATCAAACTAAGGGCATCCGCAGTGGTGTATCCTTGCGGGTGTAAACATTATTTTAAAATACAGAAATAATGTAAAAGTTGTCTCTTTCTTTACACCCGGGTGTAAGTTTACACTCGGGTGTAAGCCACTCTATCTCTCTCTCTCTCTTTCTTTTTCTCTCTCTTTTCTCTCTCACTTTAAATTATAATAATAAAAAAAATCTTACACCCCTCCCTCACACTTACACCACTGCGGATGGTCTAAGGAACTAAAACACACAATATTTGGAGGGTCTTAAAAGCACCACTAGTCAAGACTTGCTTAGTAATCACTATATCTTACTCAAACCAAACCCACCAGAAGCAAACCAATATATTATCATCACATTAGATCAAAGCGAGAATCAAACTAAGGAACTAAAACAATACACACTAATAAACAACAATCACTTGTTTCTTTTTGCACATATTTTATTGAGTTTCTGAGCAAACACCAAATCCAAAATAATTTAAAAGAGAAACTAAAGAAAGTCATCATCTTTTTTCTTCTGGACTAGTCTCTTTAGTTAATATCCACTTGAGGAACTATACCACCAGCTTGAATGATTTGTTTTTCAAGCTGCAACACAACAACAAGTCAATAATTTGTTCATAGGTCATCATCAAAATGATTCATAAAAGCAGCCACAAACAGAACTGGACTCTATTCACACTCACATTGAACATATCTTGAAGCTTTGTCTTTAACGCCTTGTACTCGATATCCACTTGCTGCAGACATCTCACACACCTGTAACAAGAGATTATTACTCCACAAATCTCAACCAATATACTTCCCAAAAGAAAACGATAACTCTTCAACCGGTGTTGAACAAGCTCACCCTTCGTAGTTCTTAGCTTCACAATATTCCTTGAAGCTAACACACAACGCTTTGACCCTCTTGGCACCAACACTACATAGAAACAACACAAAGCTTCATCAATCAACCACACACAACTTCTTCTACTAAAGATTATATAACGTAGCAGCAGAACTAGTATCGAGACACGATACATACCTTGAGCTACTACCCTTCAATTGATGCACACTAGCACCTACCTGACTAAAATCTACAGTTCCTGTTGTCTTGTCCCTGAAAATAGATGTAGTAGCCACAATCACACTTAAGAGAAGGTTAAGACAACACAAGCAATGATGATCTAGCTGAGAGAAGATCAAAACTTACAAAGCTCTAGCCATGTTACTGATAAGTTTCACACAATCTTCAAAGAAAAGAGTCAGCACTTCAGCCACAAAATCAGGACTTCCATCATCTTGTAGCTTTTTCAACTCAGTAAATTGATCATCCAAAAAACCCTTCACAAAAACACAAACAATCAATGGTCTAAAACAAACCCATCAATCTAAAGTTCCAAATTTCCAATCTTTACACAACTCAAATCCCTAAAACTCATAACTTGTAAAACAACACAAATTCTACAGAACAAACAATAAAGATTCAATCTTTCTTCAGTTTAATCATGAATCTCTGCATATAGGAGTAAATCTAGTGCATATGATCTATATTAGCTAACCAAAGACATGAATTGGGTTTGAAGATTTGTAGAATTGAAACCTGTTGGTAGAGAGAAATGGTGTAATCACGAAATTGTCTCTGAAGCTGAGCAATGAGAGCGTCCATGAGAAGAGTGAAGCCGAGATTGGGAGAGGATTTTTGTTTGGACTTTGATTTTTGACTTGATTTCTGGAAATAGCCAATCCCAAGAGAAACTTGTGTTTTGTCTTTCTCACGAAATTTCGTAACGCTGCGTCCAGATTTTTTAACTTTAAATGGGAAAAAATAATTAAAAGAGAAACAGACCAATATTTGGACATTTTTATTTAAGTTATTTGGATATTCTATCTATAAAGTTTAAATTTATGGTTTTTTTAATGGAAATTTTTGGATTCAATACTTTTTTTTAGTGAATTATTTGTATTTTCGTTATTAAAAAAAATACTTTTCGAAAAAAAAAATACTTTCAAAAACTCATTTAATGTTTAGTCAAATTTAATCTATACTATATAAAAGTCGAGGCTATAAGGTTCTCAAGCTGTCCACCTAGGATTTTAAACGACCAATCGCGATTAGCCATGTCATTATTTAGCATTTTTGAAGTTATAAGAAATATAGAATATGAGAAAATCTAAATATATGTATATATTCAATTTTTAAACAGCCTCATCTAATTTATCCAATATCGATTAATAAGATTTAGAAAATAGAAGAAAAATTTCTTAAAACTAATGTTGATAATAATTAATATATGGTGATTTTCTATTTTTTGGGTGTATAATATTGGACATAAAAGTTAATCCTAGATTAGTTATATTTGTTACATATTTCTTACGCAAAATAAAGGTAACTTTGTGAATATTAGTTGTGATATTGCGAGTCTGCTTTTTAAAAGTATAAATTTTCTTCTTTTGTGTGTTTCTGGAAATTGTAAAAAGGTAAAAACCTAAATCATGAACGCCTCTTAGTTTCTTATAAATACTTTTCATTTTATTCACTAGAAAATTGAACCAGATGTTTTAGGACAATTTTTAGGAGAGGTATGTTCTCATCTCTTGTGTTAATAATCTTTTCATAATTTTTAATTCTTTAAAGCTTGATTTTATAATTGATATATATATATATATATATATATATATATATTTTTTTTTGGTAAAAGTATATAAAACCTAAATCATGAACGCCTCTTAGTTTCTTATAAATACTTTTCATTTTATTCACTAGAAAATTGAACCAGATGTTTTAGGACAATTTTTAGGAGAGGTATGCTCTCATCTCTTGTGTTAATAATCTTTTCATAATTTTTAATTTTTTAAAGCTTAATTTTATATTTGATATATATATATATATATATATATATATTTTTTTTTTGGTAAAAGTATATATATATATATATATATATGTATAGGTGTGTGTGTGTTCTAATGTTTTAGTTGTTCGCCAAAAAATTGAACCGGATGTTTTAGTTCTCATCTCTTTTCATGAATTGTTATATGCTCTCATCTATGTTTGTGTGTGTTTTAATATTCCGTAATTTCATATGTGATCAGATTAGCTTCTAAAACAAACACGGGAGAAAGAAATAAAAAAAAAATATGGTTGACGTATATGTTTTACTTTTACGTTCTAAGTGATTGGAAAAAAGCGCCAGGTTTGGTTTCATACGACGAATGGATTCTCATCCACCTTAAACTATTAATTTGATGAATACATTTGATTTTTTTTGGTGTACCAATGCTTTTGTTAAATTTTAAGAGAAAAAAAGCTACGTTCTCGGCACTTCTCGACCATCTTTGCTGACTCTGCATACTGCAAATGTATTAAGTGGACTGCTTTTATAATTAGAGTATAATTTTGTGTGTATAAGAGGTCATGAAACAATATTGCAATCTTCTCTTTAATTACTCGAATTGTTTTCGATATTAGAAACGTTCTTATTGACAATTGTGATGAAGTTTCTATATGCTTAAAGCTTCTAAAGCCATCCATATGAGATCTAAACGACCATCATCTCATATATTTTTGAAATTATAACTATTTTATCTATTCGTTTAGCCATCTCACTAATATTTGTAACTATCATTTTTAAATTATAATATTTTCTATATTAAGATAATAACTTTTTTTTTTTGACGTCTAGATTGATTATTTATTGCAAATTATGAGAACTGTTACATAGACGATTCTACAACGGACAATTCCTTCCGACCCTTATTAGATCCACGACAGACGACACTTCCTTCTCTATGCTCTTGACGGACACCTTCAATGATCCACGACCTGACGACACTTCTCTCTCTGCGTAGAATCCTGGCGAACGGCTATAATTGTACTTCGCTGGAGATCTTTTGCACACTTGCCTCCTTTAATCTGCAAATTTATTAATAAATCGCAATATCTGGGACTCGAACCCCAGACCTCTTGGTGTAGAAGCATTAATTAACCCTTGGTCAACCAATGGGCAATAGTGTAGCGTTAGGAGTCTGAAATCGACGTATTCGAGCTGAGAGAACGATAATGAATCGTGCCTGTCATCAGAGATTTGGTTTGAAAAGTTTCTATACGTGGGGATCTAAAATCGAGTATACATGTGAAAGTGAGAAAACAGTTATAACAAGATTTATTTCATATGCCAAGATTTCATATGTAGCTAAAACTTGATGGCAAGATTTCTCACTATTTTGGGATGAGCCATTTTTGTATAAGAGATGTTCTGATGGTCTTTTTAGGATGAATGGGGTCATTGTCAAAATATTTTTATAATTGCTTTAATAATAGCAAAATCATTAATAGTATAAAACAAGTAAGAGATAATGATACTTCATATTTGTATTTCATACCAAATTTTATCCTATAAACTTTTTTTTCTTATTAAAACAAAATTTTAAATAACGTAAATGATACTATAAATATAAATAAAGAACATTTATGTTAAAAATAATAAATAATAAACATTATGGTATTTTTGTATTACTATTGTTAATGTATAGCAACTTAAATACTAAAACCAAAAATATATTAAATCAATCGATAACAACAAACCCCCGCGTAGCGGGGGTTAATAACCTAGTCTTACTTGAAAAATTAAAGTCCTTACTTTATGTTTACTTTTCAAAAACCAAAAAAAAAGTAAAGAAATTTTGCAACCTTTTATTTCGATATTTTAATCTCAATGGGACTAATCATTTGAAAGAAATTCTTTTTGTTAAAGATTTTATATAGTAGCAAAAAGGTTTAAATTAAAAAAAAAAATCAATCAATTTCTCTCAATCAAAGAAAGAGGAAATAAATCAGCTAAATAATAACTAGTTCTTGAACAAAAAAATAATAACTAGCTTTTGAAACAAATGAAGTGCACAAATTGACAACATATAAAGAAACAAATAATATGCTAAATACATTTCCACATAAACATATTACTCCCTCTGTTTCTTTTTGTAAAATGTTTTGGCTAAAAGTATGTATCTTAAAAATTTATTTTCTTTATTGAAATATCATTTAATATTTAAATTTAAAACAGTTCAACCAATCATACAAATCACTGCAGCTTACCAAAAAAAAAATCATACAAATCACTGCATAATACAAAGGGGTGATTGGTAAACACTTTTAAAGCTTTAGAAAAGTTTTAAAGTTCTTAAAGTTTTTATTTCCCAATCACACTTTTTTGGTTTTAAATAATTTTAATGCCTCTAAAGTCTTTCTTTTTTCCTTTACTCTTTGAATTCATTTTTTTTTTTCTAAAGCTAGTAAACCTGACTTTAGAATTAAAAATAATAGTTTTCTTTATTTTCCTTTTCCCAATATATAAAAATCTCTTATAAAATTCGTTGGAAAATTAATTTTAAAAAAGTATTAACTAATTTACAATTGATTTTCTTTTTCTGTTCTTTTAAGATCCACTTATGTATATAAAAAAACGTCAGATATTACATTTGATACAAAAATGGAGAAATATGAATGTATAAAAACTTCTAATAAAGTTTTTTGTGTGAATTTCGTTGTTATATTACAGTTTGGCTTTATATTCGCTGTAATTTATTTTATTTAAAATCATAATTTTTACAGCCACAGTTTCTACAGTTTTGTTGTACCAATCACATTTTAACAGTTAAAGTCTCTAAAGTTAAAGTCTCTGCAGTCAAAAGTTTCTACAGTCAAAGTCCTTACAGCGAAAGTCTCTACAGCCGAAAGTAACAGTCGTTACCAATCGGCCCCCAAATGACTACAAAATATTAAATGCAGTTAAATTTTACTTAAAAACTTACAAAACATATGATGAAATGAAACATATCAAAAATCTTAAAACATCTTATAAAATGGAAAGGAGCGAGTATTATTATTTACTCAAACTTGAGTTGTCTTTCAAATGAGTTACTAAGACAGAAATGTAACGAAAATTCACAATAAATACAAAAAGGATGTCAAAAAAGACAATTCTGAGGTCGAGGACCATTGATTGGGGCAAGAAAACGAAATCCATGAAGCATCCAATCTTTATGTTAAGCTTTAAACGTGGAATCCTTAGGTGTCACTCAGAATCTCCAACCTGGAAACTTTTCTAAGATGCGTTTGGTTCCTAAACCACCAGAGAGATGTGATTCTCTATGAACCATGTGCAAATATTCTTCTGAGTCAACAACTCTCACAGAAAAAACTCAATAGGTGTCAAAACTTTCACTACCAACACATTTACTCCAATATGAACCAATATTTATTTAGTTTCTAAGGAAACAACAAAATTGAAGCGACATTGTCGAATACAAGTCCTCTTCGACCAAAAAAAAATATGAAAGTTGAACCAAAAAAAAAACACACACCAGAGACATAACAAACACATTGTAAGAAATATAACAAGTCTTAAAGACAAACAACAAAAGAAGCACAAATGATGGAGGACGAAAGAATCAGCAATGGACATCATTAGGCAACGGCAGGCATGTCCTTGAGCCAGTCGTCAAGGGGCTTACCAATGGAGTAAACAATGAAACCAATCTCCCTTAGCTTTTGCAGATTCATAATGTTTCTTCCGTCGAACACGAAAGCCGGTTTCTGCATGTTGTCAAAGATCTTCTGGAAGTCCAAGTTCTTGAACTCATCCCACTCGGTCATGATGCAGATACCGTGTGCGTCCTTAGTTGCTTCGTATGCGTCCCAAGTAACGCTCACTTGTTTCACTGTTGTTGGGCTCATTGGCTGCAAATGTAGCGGATGGTCCCAGTCGAACTTGTTCATGGATAAGTCCCTCTGGATTTGATCCTCAGTCACCTGCGGGTCGTAAATGCTTAACCTTGCTTTGTCTTCGAGAAGACCCTTGCACACGTCGATGGCTGGGGTTTCCCTTGTGTCGCCTGTGTCTTTCTTGAATGCGAAACCAAGAACCGCAATCTTCTTGTTGGATACGGAGTTGAACATGGAGGAAACAACACGGTTCACAAACCGGCTCTTCTGGTAGTCATTGATCTTGATGACTTGCTTCCAGTACTCTGCCACCTCCGGGAGTCCGTTGCACTCGCAAATGTAGACAAGATTCAGAATGTCCTTCTGGAAACATGAACCTCCAAATCCAACACTCGAGTTCAAGAACTTAGGACCAATTCTCGAGTCTGTACCAACCGCGTAAGACACTTGGGTAACATCTGCACCAGTGGCTTCGCATAGAGCAGACATAGCGTTGACGGATGAAATCCTTTGAGCCAAGAAAGCGTTTGCCGCAAGCTTGGAAAGCTCAGCAGACCAGAGATTGGTGGTTATGATTTGGCCTTCAGGAACCCAATGTGCATACACATCCTTAAGCGTTTGAACCGCTTTAAAACCTTCCGGGGTTTCCCGCCCTCCGATAAGAACACGGTCAGGGTTAAAAAGATCCTTGATCGCGGTTCCTTCCGCCAAAAACTCCGGATTCGAAAGAATCTGAAACTTAATCCCTTTGCTATTATGAGTCAAAATCTTCTCAATAGCTTCAGCTGTTTTAACCGGAACAGTCGATTTCTCAACCACAATCTTATCTGATACCGACACATCAGCGATCATACGCGCAGCGCTCTCCCAATACGTAAGATCCGCCGCTTTACCAGCACCAAGACCTCTAGTTTTCGTCGGCGTGTTGACAGAAACAAACACAATATCAGCTTCCCTAACATGTTTCTCAACATCAGTACTAAAGAAAAGGTTCTTGCCACGGCATTGCTTCACAACATCATCGAGACCAGGCTCGTAAATCGGAAGCTGGTCACTGTTCCAAGCGTTGATACGCGGTACAGAGATATCAACAACCGCTACTTCAACGTCTGGACATTTCAAAGCAATCACTGCCATTGTTGGTCCACCAACATACCCAGCTCCAATACAACAAATCTTCACCATCTTTCACTTCTTCTGCAAAAAGAATCAAACTTCACAAAGTCAAGAGCTTTATATACAATCAAAACCAAACAGAGATCAAAAAGTGGATCCTTTTTCAGAAAGAACCAAACATTCTAAAAAGTTAGATCTTTTATAAGCAAAACAGAGTCAGATCTTAAATCAAAACATAACTACTAAACAAGACATCATTAACGATCTAAACACAAATCTAGCTCAATTTTATAATACCAAAGATGATTTCAAATAATTAGCACTATCAACAACGGATCTATTGGTTTTGAATCAGAATTATGAACTAAGGAAAAGCCGATCTGAGATCGAGAATCACCGATCGATGATTCAGAGCGAAGATCAGGAGATAATTAACGATAAATTTACAAGAAAATTAGCGATAGATAAGAGATTTGCATTAGCGAAATTATTACCTTGTGAGATTCAGACACAGATTAGCGAGTGAAATTGTCTGAGGGACATGATCTCAGACCAAAGCTGCGTTTTATAAGAATTGGATTTCCGATTTTACCCCTGACCGACCAGAGAGAGAGTTAAAAAACGAACCTGCAGGTTCGGTGATGGTGGAGCCACTGTTCATTTCATTTTACACCTGGCATTATTATTCTCGCTTTCCAAGAAACGAGGGCTATAAAACAGAGTAATTACTGTGTGAAATGACGATTATACCCCTTGTAGTTTAGTGCCGTACGCGTTTGTGCATTCTGTCATGCATGAGTCTACGTAGCCCGGCGACTATGGACCGAACGATTTGTTTCGGTTAGTCGGTTTTTTGGGTAGTTCGGTTAGGGGGTAAAGCTACCAAATATAATGAAATAAAATTCGGTTTATATTGATTTGGTTACTGGTTAAATATTTAAAGACCGTACAAAACCGACGTCCGGTTAAGTTTGGATAGAATTTTTTAAAAAAAAATTGGTATAATTTCAGAAAATTCAAAATAACAACGGCTAACTGGTCGATCAAATAAACCGAGTCGCTAACCGAACCTATTTCAAAAAGTTTCCTCACTCTTATTAACCGATTCAAACCGAAACCCTCAAATCTGTTCGATTTGGTTGAGCAAAACCGATTCGATTTTTAATCTCAGGTTTAAGTCTACAAGTGAATATTAGTTCTTTCCCAAATTACAAAGATAATTAAAATTAATACAATCACGATACATGAAAATCTTGAAATGTTTTAATAAAAGCATTTTTCATTTTTTTATATTATTTGATAAAAGGGAGGAAGAAGAAAAGTCCTTTTAGGGTTTAAAACAGAGAAGAAGAAGAAAACAAAACAGAATGAAGCACACAAAACATGAGTTCATCTTGTAGCAAAACTTCAAAAGCAAGAATGAAAGATTGCTTACGAATTAGAGAATCTTTTTCATTATTATTTCTTATGGATTGTTTTTCACGGCAATTGAAAATACTTGAGTAAGAACTAGAACTAAAAGCTATCAGATGTACATGTCACAACTAATGAATGATGAAATATCATGATTTTAAGACCGACACAAAGAAGAATAAATCAAAGTCATATAAATCATATAGACAATAAGGTTGATAGCACAAACCCATTATTAGTTTGTTCAAATAGCCTCATTTTGATTTTATTTTTTAAGTGAATACTCCGTTTCTTTTTTAATGTTTTAGGAAAAAAAAGTTATTTTAAATTAGATAATGTTTTCAACTTTTAATTCAAAATTAGTTAATTTTTGTTAGTTTTGATGATTTATATTCTGCATATTGTTTTATTATTGGTTAAATCTTGTTTAGGTAGATAATATATAATATTTAATTTAAAAATAAACAAAGTTAAATGATTTCTTAATCGGTATATAAAAATTTTAAACATCAAATAAAAAACCGTAAGGAATAACATATTTATTTATGATTTTATTATTTTTATTTATGATTATGCATGAGTTTGTAAAAATTCATTCTTCATGCGCTAACACGATTCATCACACGTACTGACGTATATGGTGATTTAAAACTCTTTTTTTTGGTGATTTAAAACATAAACCTAATGAAACCAAGACCACAAAGAACATTGGAGAAAGTTTAGTTGTGTCTTTTAAAATTGTCTTCATCGTTTCTTTTTAGGTCAAAGGAAGAGAACAATTTAGGGGTAAGGGAATTTTCTTCATAAGTGAAGGAAGACGTTCACGGGGAATTTTCTTAGTATGAGATTTGTTTGATTATAGTTATAGGTTCGTATAATTTGTGAATCAAGGTTTCTATCTGTAATTTTTCTATATAAAAAAAGGTTTCAATATTTAATCTATAAACTTATAGGTAACTTTCTGATTATAATTTTTAACTGATTAGCTAAATTTCAATATTTTATCTATAAATCTATAGGTTAAAAGGAGAGGAGATTTGCTTTTTTCAATATGTTTACAAGCGATCAACACACTTTTATTTTGCTACGTGGTTAAAGTTAATTGTTGGAGATGAGACTTGATTCCGAATAAGGTGGTTCTTAGTTGACTTGTGAATGCCAGTTAGATCACAATCACTTCTCATGTAAGATGCATTCATCTGCTCAAAACAAATTTATTAAACTTCATTTCATATATCTTAAAGGCAGTTACACTAGAGTGCGGGTTAATGGTTACTTCTTAATTTTTTGAAAATTTTGTAATAGAACAATACCTGTAAAATGTTTGTTACACTTCAAAAAAAAAATTGAGACTCTTTTTCAAATCAGTCAATTAAAATGTTGAGCTATCATGAAAGTATGAAACGTGTTTATATTTTATATATAATAAGATATATACAATATATTAATACCAAAAAAAATTCATTCGATTAATTTTAGAGAAATTGTTAAAAATGCCCCTTTTTCAATACCCCTTTTCAAAAATGCCCCCTTTGAGAGTCCATTTTTAAGTTTGCCCTCTTTTAATTTTTAATGACCATTTTACCCTTATTTGAAACAAAATTAGGTCCACAAAATACAAAATATTTTTTGGCGGGAAAAGTGATCCCGCAATTTTCCCGCCAAAACACTTGTAAAAAACCTTTAAAATACCTTGTAAAATTTTCCCGTAAAATTTTTCCCGCCAAAAAATTTTCCCGCCAAAAAATTTTTTTTGCGGGAAAAGTGATTCCGCAATTTTTTTTTTTGGCGGGAAAATTTTTGGCGGGAAAAATTTACAAGGTATTTTAAAGGTTTTTTACAAGTGTTTTGTAAGGTTTTACAATGTATTTTAAAAGGTTTTACAAGGTACTTATTAGGTTTTATAAGGTATTTATAACTTGTAAAACCTTATAAAAAACTTGTAAAACCTTATAACTTGTAAAAACCTTATAAAATAGCTTGTAAAATCTTATAATATCTTGTAAATACGTTGTAAAACCTTTTAAAATACATTGTAAAACCTTATAAATACCTTGTAAAAAACCTTTAAAATACCTTGTAAATTTTTGGCGTGAAAAATTTTCCCGCCAAAAATTTAACGCCAAAAAAATTGCGGAATCACTTTTCCCGCAAAAAAAAATTTTTGGCGGGAAAATTTTTTGGCGGGAAAAATTTTACGGGAAAATTTTACAAGGTATTTTAAAGGTTTTTTACAAGGTTTTACAAGTGTTTTGGCGGGAAAAATTGCGGGATCAATTTTCCCGCCAAAAAATATTTTGTATTTTGTAGACCTAATTTTGTTATATTTCCTTATATATTTGTGATATATTTTATTAAAAGAAGGGTAATTTAGTCATTTTGTACATAAAAAGGGGTATTTTTAAAAATGGACAGCCAAAGGGGGCATTTTTGAAAAGGGGTATTGAAAAAGGGACATTTTTGTGAGTCTCCCTTAATTTTAATATATATCGTTTCGTTTCGTGATAGCTCAACATTTCTATAAACTATGAACTTAATTAGTTTTATGGTCTCAATTTAAAATATTTTTAACTATACAAATTTTAATGTTAGTCAAAAATATTTTACAATAATGATGAATATGTGTATTAAACTATACCAAATTATATAATTTTGTGTAATTTATTTATACTTTTGGATCATAACTAATCTCGCCTTTTCACGAATAACAACCTAATATATTTCTTAGAAACAATACTACTTTTTTGTAAAACAATCTACTAATTTATTGGGGGGGAAACCATTAAATAAACGGACAAAAAACTTTTTTTGTTTTTTTTTTTTGCAGACATTCAAACGGACAAAATTTAGTATCGAATGCCTTCCAAAATAAGGATTTCTTGTACGAATGATTGGTTGACTATTGTACGATTCTGTGAGCCGTGATTTAAGTTCTATGGAAAAGACTTTTTGCCCAAGGCCATAGGAAAAGTTTTAGACTAAGAAGGCAATATTTTTTCTTTCCCAAAATATTTCATGAAATTCCAAATTCACATCGATATCATATCTCTACATTGACAATTTTGATAAGAAACGTATCAATCTCTCGTTCTTACTAAGGAAGTAAATAAATACAGCGAGATCCAATCTTTCTTTGATTCAAAATTTCTAATAATTAATGCCCGGACACTAAAATTCCGCAATCAATCTCAAGGCTTAATAAGGCAAAATATTTTCTGCTGATTCTCATAATTCCCATAAACTAAAAATCTTACAAAAACCATAACGTTCCATATTCTTCTATAAATAAATGATTCTTCTTTTTCAGTAAAATTGTTAATTAACTCGGAGAGAAAAAAAAAACATGAACCGATCAATGACTTTTGTTGTGTTACTGGCGATTCTTGTCTCGGTGGCTAACCTTGGCTTGGCTCATGTCGGTCTTACTAATATCGACCCTTCGTGGTACGACGCACATGCGACGTTTTATGGCGATATGAGCGGCGGAGAAACCATGCGTTAGTTTTTTTTAATTATTTGATTTTAATGTCGTTTTCATTTTGTTAATGATTTCTATATGATAAAAAGGTATTAATCGTATGTAGTTTTTTTAATTTTATTTTATTACTATTTGGTGTGACAGAAGGAGCATGTGGTTACGGGGATCTATTCAAAGAAGGTTACGGCCTAGAGACGGCGGCGCTAAGCACGGCTCTTTTCAACAATGGCCAAACTTGTGGTGCTTGTTTCGAGCTCATGTGTGTGAACTCAAAATGGTGCAAACCAAACGCTGGTTCAATCAAAATCACAGCCACTAATTTCTGCCCACCAAATTATGACGAACCGGTTCAATACCATTGGTGCAACCCTCCTAACAAGCACTTTGATCTATCAATGAAAATGTTCACTTCGATGGCTGAGTACCGAGGAGGGATAGTTCCGGTGAAGTTCAGGCGTGTGGTGTGTCATAAGAGAGGTGGTGTGAGGTTTGAGATCAAGGGCAATCCTTATTTTATCATGGTTTTGGTGTATAACGTTGGAGGTGCAGGAGATGTGAATAACGTTGAAATTAGAGGGCATAAGAGTAATTGGATCGTTATGAAGAGGAATTGGGGGCAAATTTGGAATACTGGTGTGGATTTGGTTGGACAAAGGCTCTCGTTTGTGGTTCGGACCAGTGATGGTAGGAGCATGACGTTCTTTAATGTTGCGCCTGCGAGTTGGGGGTTCGGTCAAACTTTTGAAGCAAAACTGAACTTTTAGATGTTTTCTTTTAGGGATTTATTTATTTTACAAGACTGGTAGTTTCCAAAGTTTTTTGTTGGAACGTATTTTTTCATAATAATAATAAAAAGTTATAATCTTTAGATTTTGGTTTTTTTTTTTAATTAAAATTCTTTATGTATTTTGTTGGAAGTCAAATTTTAGACAATACTTTCGTCTTATTGATGAGTTAATTTCTGTCACCATAGAATAAGTAAACTAACAATTATTGAGATTGAATAAGTTAAGGTAATTAGTTTGTTCTATCCATTAATGAATAGGCCTAATTATCAGCATATAGTTAGTGACAAATACTGGCATGAAATAAGTTAAGAAGCTGTTGAATGGTCACATAGGCCAAATTCAAGTGAGCTGGATTTCAGTTTAGCTAAGTGGGCCTTGAGCAAAATACCAAAAGCCCACGTCATATCCACAAAAAATGTCCATTCGGTCACAAGATAGTTTCAAAGCTCAAGTTATGGCCTATCGGAGAGTGGTCGACAAACATAAACAATAGCGCAAGTTACAAATGAAGCTTACTCAAAATACAGTAAAACCTATATAAATTAATAATATTAGGACCGTGAAATTTTATTAATTTATAAAGGTATTAATTTATACAGAGTTTACGTGAATTTTGTAATTTTTTTAAAAAATTATGTCTTGAAAAGAATTTTTTTCTTTATAATCATTATCTTTATAGAACTAATTACAAATAATAAAAATTTATTATGTATAGAAAACAAGACAATTTTTTTGATGTAGTAAACATATTAAAATGAACTTTACTAAGAATTAGTGTAAATGAAAAGAAAAATAATAGGAGAGTCATATTTCACTAATTGTTTTTACATATATATATATATATATTTAAAAGTTTATAAGATTATTAATTTATGATATTGATGGGACCATATGTTTACATAGGATTTTCGAAACAATTATTATCTTATTAATTTATCGATTTGTTGCATTATTTACACTAGTCCCAACTCGGGCCGAAAAAATTTATTAATTTATAGAGATTATTAATATATCGAGTATTAATTTATAAAGGTTTTACTGTAAGTTGAGTTTAAAGAAAAGAGGATGTATCTTAAGTTAATACTTCCTCATAAGGTTTCTTTGTAAGCAGAGGAAGGACAAAATAAAAACATAAAGGAGAATGGAAGGAAAGACCTAGAAACAAACCTAGAATGATGACGAAAAGAAGAAAACACAAAACGAACGAAAATATGTTTTGTAAACATCTAAATCCATTATAAAGTTAATTCATATATATTTAGACTGAAAAAGACTACTAATAAAGAATCCCTAAAGAAAAAACATCGGATTTGGAGCTTTTCCTCCATATTCTCTCTCTTGCACACATACTAATAAAAGAAAACGAAAGAGAAAGCCAAAAACTTTTATTATCCTACTCCATCTACTTATAATCACTTCTATACATGAAATTTTGTATATCATTGATTGCTTGTCATGGTTATAAGAGATGTAACTCATGGTCTCGTGTATTACGGATAAAGTAGTATATCGTGGGTATGTTGTAACTGCAAAATAAAACCATATGTCGTGAATCCGTATGTTGCAAGAAAATACAGTCGAACCTCTATAAATTAATACTCGACAAACTAATAAACACTATAAAATAATAAAGTTGTTCGGTCCCAAATCAGGCCAATGTAAAATTTGACAAAATTTGATAAGATAATAAGATAATACTTTTTTTAGAATCTTTATATAAATACATGGTTCCATTAATATCATAAATTAATAATCATATTAATTTACATATATATAATTAGATATACTAAGGTCTTTTTTTAGTATTTTTTAATTGAATTTTGTTAGAATCCATATTTAACTTTTATTTAATAAAATAATTGGTCTACTGTGTTTCAAACTATAGTGTTGTAGTAATCTATACTAGTATTTTTGCAACACTTTGGTGACGGGTGGGTAAAAATGTTTTTTGGTTAATCGGATATCCGACCCGTTTTTTAAATTCCTTCACAAAACATTTGTTGGGTCGGGTTATATTTAACCCAACTCATACACCGGATATTCTATATTTAATAATTTAGATATTTAGAAGATTTGATTAAGATTTATAATTATGATCCTCCTATCATCTTTGTTTGATTTGTTTTTAAATGTTTTGAATCATCATATAATACAAAAAGTAAAAAAAAAATCAATTTTTTTTTTGCATATACTGTGATTCGAAATTTTAAAGACGGACCTATATTATCAAATTGACGAAAATGTGTGTTCAACGTTCTACATCGATTAAAATATTTAGATAATGATTCAGAATCATATCATAAATAAGAATATTAATAAAATAAATGAGTTTTTTGGCCGGACGGGTTTGACGTGACGGGTTTTTGAATCAACAATAATAAAAAGTTTAAAATATCATTAATCTGCCGCTTCAATACGGATTAAATCCTTTTTTTTTAATACCACAAATATTAGACATATTAAATCAGTCTCATTTAGAAAAGATTGTATAAAACCAAAAATTGTCCCGTGGTATAATGTTACTTAATAACAATATTTATAAAATTTTTAAATATCATTAACATGCCGCTTTAATACATACTAAATCTTTAGTTTATTAAAATATAAATCTCTTAGAGAATGATATGATTTGTAAACTTTTATATATAATAAATAATCATTAAATTTTAAAATAAAAACAAATCACGGGACGGGTTAAGAAATTACGGAACAGTTTATATTTCGGAAAGGATTTATATGGCGGATGAATTTGAATCAATATTTATATACCGCTTTAATAGGGGTTAAATCCTCAGTTTATTAAAAATTGTCGCGTAGACTCGTGGTATACCGTTACTTAATAACAATTATAAACTATAATATAAATAAATATGTTATAAGGAGATACAATTTACAAAATATTTTGTTACTAACTTTAAAATTAAATCATCCCGCTGTGTACCGCGGGTTAAAATCTAGTTAGTATCTATAAATGTGCCATAAAAATAATCAAGGTTTTTGTAAGCTTTTAATTTTTGAATATGTATCATTTTCATTTCGATAGTTTTATAGCTATTAAAAATGATAATTGAGGTCATTAATCATAAATTTGAATTTACATATATCGTTTATAGAAGTAAATTTACCTACAGTCTTTGTAATTTATTGTCTAATTTATTTTTCAACTTTTTTTTCTTCTAATTATTATAATTTCAAATCCAAAACTATAAAATTTATAACATCCAAAACATTAATTTTATTTCGATAAAATTGTCTCAATTAATTTCTTTCTAAAATTTTAAAACTAAAAATAAATCTCTTTATAAATTGATAAGGATTAATTTACACTATAAATAAATAAAATTAAGAAAATATCATGGTCCCAACAATATTAATTTATAGAGGTTTTACTGTAGATATGTTTAAAAGTCACATGTAAAATCGTTCATCATAATTAGATATATTATTGGTAATAGATTTGATTGATAGATCATCATTAGTTTAATCTTGTTGGTAGATAATATGATAAAATCAATATTTTTATGGTAATATAAAACCTACAGGTACGGTTACAACAAAAATAAAACCAATGTCGACGGTTATGGGCGAATGTAATTACTAAATATCTGTTAGATCTATGTGTTTGTACGATGGGAGAGTGTAGCGAATGTAAAAAGCAATGACATAAAGATTTGTTAATAATGGGGTTCGGGTTTGGTTAACAACCTATATCCCTGAGACCTAGTCCAAAAACCATTCTACTAGAACAAGATTGCAAATACAATTGCGTATGATATACATCCGGTGCATCACCGTCTTCTCTGACGGATGTGGCCTCCAAAGGAATACCACCAATAGATCTTCATCTGATTTGGTGGGGTTACACCACACACGCATGTGTGCGTGTTTCTCAACAATACCCTAGACAGATGCGTTCACGGCTACGTTTTATTTATATGCTCCTCAAAAGCAAGATCTCTACTTGGGCTTCTATCTAAAACAGTCCAACATGGCTTTTCTAATGATCTCAAAGCCCACATGATACTTTCTTGTTTATTGGATCTTCTTAAGCCTTAAGGCATCAACTCTCCAAACATCAGTTCTCGTGTCACAACAGACAGTTATGTCACACACACACATTAGCCTCTGTTGTAGTCTGTATCTATTTATGTGTAAGAGCTCATGTCACACACACGATCTTGTGTCACACACCCTTCATGTGTCAAACATGTCTTGTGTCTGTTCTTGAGTCTTTCTTTCTTTCTTTTTTTGCTAAGCTTGTAAATATCATTAGAAATGAAGTTTGAGGTATTACAAATAGCATTACCTAAAGATAGGGTAACCTTGGCAAAAAAAAATAATCTTGAGTCTTTCTTATGTTACGATTACACAGCTGTTTCCTGTTCTACTAGACACTTTGAACATTATGAAGGTTTTGTGTTAGACACGTTATTTTTGTGGCACACATACCCAGTTCTTGTACACTTCCTGTTTACTCAGCTTCGTGTACATTCTGCAGCAACACATGTTATACTTACATGAAACACAAGTCTCGTCTTGGAATACTGAACTTCTACAAACATGTGACAATATAATAATGCTTTCAGCCAAGATCATCATCCAATTATTAGTATTTCTCTCGTTTGCTTATTAGAAAGAAATATAAGATATATATACATTACGCAAACATTACAAAGACAAGATTATATTATAGTTTCAATTTTTTGTTCATTTTTTATGAATGTAGGATGTAAGATTTTATAGAAAAAATAAATAAAGCGAACCCATAATCAATCACGTGGGCCAACAGCTACATATAAATGTCACACATGCCTATTAATAATAACCTGAAAATTAGATGATAAAACCATGTGCAACAAATCAAAATTATCAAACCCTTTTTTAAAAAAATAATAATAATCAAAATTAACAAAAACACCATCTTTGTGATGTTGTTAATTAATTTAAAAGAGGAATTAAATTGTGTGCATGGAGAGAAGAAGATAGAAGAGTATGCAGGGAATGTGGAGAACATGCTCTGTACTTTTTCATATGCTTGCTTCTCTGTCTCCTTACCCTTTCACTTCTCCCATGTGCACTCACATGCTCTCTTATCCTTTTTAATAAACCGGTTTCCGGTTTAATTCTCGGTTTATTTATTACAAGTTTCTTTGTTGTCCAATGAGGTTTTAGGTGACCCATAACATCTTCACATGCACAACCTAATCTACGGACACCACACATCCTTCGATGCACCTCTTTGTCCAGCTATTTCCTTCCATTACATCCCAACTCTTACTCTAAATTTTACCAATATAGTTAACCTTCCACGGCTCTTCACCAAAACGCTTAATTTACTTTAATAGGGTTAGAGATAAAGTTTAATTTGTTTTGTCATGATTCAATATTTCAATGTAATTGAATATTGGAATCTAGTAGGGTCATCTCAAGCTATTTGTAGCATCTATGCAATTTTTATTATTATTATTGATAAATTTGATGTGGGGATTAACGAGAATCTAGTAACTTTGTTGTGTTGTAGAGAGGTACGTAATATCCACCTTTGGCCAAAGTAAGTTGTATTATATTATTAGCTTAATCTTAATTTATTTTTTTTTGCTAAGAATGTAAATATTTCATAAAATGAAAAACGATTTAGGTTTATAATCGATGATTATAAACCTATACAAATGGTCCCATGGCAAAAAAGATAAAAACATGGAAGCATAAATCATAAAAACAATTTCAGTCCGTCCACTCGACATAAACACAAAGGCTTAATCTTAATTTAAACAAACGAAAGTTAAAAAGCTAATAAAAAACACAAATCAAAATAAATATATAACAATACAAGAACCATAACCTTATGGAAAAAATAGAAATGCTTAACAACAAAAAAATCTTTGGCATGCATGTGCCTGTAACAGAAGGCCCCCATAAGCTGTTACTGATACTTTAGCACTCTTCACGCACTTCCCACTTTTCTAATTTCAATTTCTTTGTCCAAATTATTGATATACATCTTCCCCCACATGTCCCTCCAAAGAGATCCGTACTACACAGTCTCTACACGACTGCACATGCATGGATTTTCCATGACATTTTTAATAAAAAATAACTAATTGCAATGACATCAAAATCAATATATAACATCCTAAATTTATGTTTTTGGTAGAAAACAAGTTCTAAAGTTTACATTTGGACAGTCGTTAGTACTTTTGGTAATCAAAAGATTTGCTTAAGAATCTTGTCCACTTACTTTGTCTAATTGCTCACGTAGTCACGTCCATGGTTAGACATTAGACTCTTAATTTTATGGCCTAAATAACGTCATTATTGTCTAAACTCTCACGTAGTCACGTACATGGTTTTACCAAATAGTTATTACCGTGTGTTTTTTTTTTCTGTTCGCAATGAAGAAAAGAAAAAGCCAACTCATGCTTCTGATATTGCATGTAATATATTTGCCAAATAAGCCTACGACACAATGACACAATGACAGTAAGATATCATTTTAAATTACGGATATACCCCCAAATTGAAATGGCAAAATAGCTAAGAAAGAGAGCATGATTGCAGTGATACTCTCGTAATAACAATAAACTTTTGTGGCTTTTTGGTAACATGGATCGTACTTAAAACCTCCAAACACCGTTCTCTTTCTTTGCCATATTCATCATCATCTCTCTTCTCACTCTCTCTCATTTTCTTGAACAAGATGAGAACCTCAAAGACTCAAAGCACAAGAGGAAGAAGAAGCTGCGACAAGCTCATCAGAAGTAGAAGAGCACATGTGTCGTCAACTACGCGGGTTTTACGCACGTGCTGCGGAAATGGTAGTGGGGACGGAGGGAAGAATGTAACGGAGAAGCTCCTAACGTTGAAGAGCCTTCTTCCTCCGCCGGCGAATGTCAGCGGTGGAGAGACGGAGGAGCTGTTTCAAGAGACGGCGGATTATATAGTCAGGCTAAGGACACAAGTCATGGTGTTGAAGAAACTGATTGAGATTTACGATAACTCCTCTGATCAGAAGAAAGAAGTTGTTTTATAATGTTCATTTATATTTTCAAATTTTTTTTTAAAATTTTAATTTATTTCAGCTTTTTCTTTTGTTATAATTATTATTTTGTGATTCGGAATGTTCTTAGGTGGTCGATGTCTATGACTATAATCTATTGATTTAAAGATTCTTATTTTGTGATGTCTTACGAATAACCTTATCGACAATTTTGAAAAGATTCTTAACTAGTAGGAACTAGGAAGCGCTTGCGTTTCAAAATCCGGTTGTTTCTTTTATGCCATAAGAAGTAAATGATTGCATGAGCCACAACAAAACAGAGAGGGTCACACAATTTTGTTCTAATTTCGATCTTTTGGAGCCAGTTGAGTAGAGTTTCCTACGTGGAAAATCCCATGTTTATAATCGAGTTCTGTTTACATATATGACCATAGTGCCCGCAAGGTGGTGGGCTAGTGGTAGGGCGAGTCTGGAGTTGAGGGTGAAATCCCCGAACCCAGGTTCGATCTTCCTCCCTCGCTGTTATCAACACTTTGTGGGAAGTCTGGGCTTGGGCTTTGGCCCAGGCAGTTTACCTGGTAGTCTGGTAACAGGCGATCCAGCTACCCCCGGGCATTAGTCGGAAAGCATTCCAAACTTGGGTTAGGCAGTGTGGTAGCCCATCCTTCGGGGTGGTAGTGAGTCCACATGGTAGCACTTCGGTGCGTTCCCCCAGGGCTGACCGGATCAGCCGATCGGGTATATCAAAAAAAAAAAAAATATATGACCATAGTAAAGTTACAAAATTGTTTTAGCTTTAACCGAAAAATAACTAGTTTAATCTAGGGAGAAACCATATGACATTGCTAAATGTCCTTGGTGGGACTCGTAATTAAAGATTTGGTTCAAATTGTTTCTATATATCTAGTTAAATCTATACTCCCAAAAAAAAAAAAAAAAATACATAGAAAGTTATACAATATGATGAGAGAAAAGGATCCAATCATTAACCAATACAAAAATATGATGATGTGTCGAATTGTTTCTATACTTAAATGACTTGTGTTTTGGTTAAATGTCTCCTCCATTCCCAAAGTCTTGGGAAACGAAGAAACAAAAACAAAAACAAAAGTCGTCTCTTGGTTTCCATGTATATGCTTATTGGGCCGGGCTGGGCCGAGATGAGTTTTTTTCTTTCGATTATGTTTTTATTTTGGTTCCATCTCATTTGACGAGAACTTCAAACGCCGGCGAAGAAGTGACTGTGAACTCCGGTGAGTCAAGTGAGAGTCATAAACGCAATGTCGAGGTTTCCGTTTAGTCAATCCAATTCCGGTGGAGATTCTTCTCCCGCAACCGAGTCCTCGCTTGCTTTCTCCTTCAACCAATCCTCAAACCCTAGCTCCGCCGGCGGATTTAGCTTCGAATCGACTCCTCTTACTTCTTCCGCAACTCCATCATTTGGATTTGGAACCGCTTCGTCTTCTTCATCAGCCGCTTCTTCTACATCCCTCCTTTTCGGCTCCTCACCGTCCATCTTTGGAGCCACCAGTTCGTCACCGTCTAGTAAGTTTTGTCTGAGGATTGGATTTGCTCTGATGGATATGAATAAAGAATTTGGAGTATTATGGAAGTTATTGATTAGAATTAGAGATAATGTAATTTGATGCTTTGGTTTGCATTATCTGCTTATATAGTGTATGACATGAATCCATAGCTCTCTTAGAGATATGATTGATGTGGCTCCTTTACCTTACTCGTTGTTTTACGGATCACTAGCTATCGGGTTTTCTTCTGAAAGAAGTGTACTGTTGTTCAGGTCTTCCATCTTCTACTTCAACCACTGCTCATGCTACCGGTTCTCCTACGACAACAATGACATCTCTTGGTGTCGCTTCGAGTAGTGGCACAGCGATTGGAGCTCCAAATATGCCATCTGAAATAACTGAGGAAATTGTAAAGGAGGTAGAGATATTTGCCCTCTTTATCTATTGTTTTATATAATATGCTAATGTTTTTCTTTCGGTGTTTGAAGGTTATTGTCGTGGAGGCGGATACTGAGTTACAAGAGCCTTCATGGAGATTTCTGAAACAGGAAAATGAAGAGCTCAAAAAAAGAGTGACGGAGATGGAGGAGGAGTTAGAGGATAAGGATTCTGACTTAGAACAACGAGAGGATTTGATTAGTGCCCTCTTGGTGAAAGAACGCTATAGCAATGATGAGATACAAGAAGCACGCAAACTATTGATTAGTGTATGTAAAGAAATGATAAGTATATACTCGTGTTCTTGAGTGCTATTTTGCTTTGCGGCTTTAACAACTCTCTGTTTTTTTTTTCTCCAGGAACTGAGAGATTTAATGGATGATGGATCGAAGATCAGAGTAAAGAGGATGGGAGATCTTCATGTAGAGCCCTTCGTAAAAGCAAGTAAGCGGAGATTAACTGGCGAAGACACTAAGCTTTACACGAAATGGGAAGAAAACCTCAGGGATCCACATTGGCAACCATTCAAAAGGGTGGAGATCGGAAACAAAGTGAAGGTTTGACATCTTTGTTATTGAGGTTATTTCCCACTGTCTCTCTCTCTGTCTGTCCCGTTTGATTAGTCTTGTTTCTGGTGAATGGTGATCTTATGCAGGAAGTGGTGGATGAAGAAGATGAGAAACTTAAGAATCTCAGAGAAAAGTGGGGAGAAGAGGTGACGGACGCAGTTAAGACGGCTCTCGAAGAACTTAACGAGTTTAATCCAAGTGGCCGGCATGCAGTCCCAGCACTGTGGAATTCCGAACAAGGAAGAACAGCTACATTGAGAGAAGCGATTGCTCACATGACCTGTGAGATCAAAACTCTCAAACGGAAAACGAATCTGAAACACCGTAAATAAAACTCTCAAGTTCTCTTGTCAGTCGGTGTTTCTCATTTTGTATATCTAAACTAAGTAATCTAAACCCTTGGAATGTTTGGTGTATTCTTACTAATATAACTAATTTCTTAAACGTTTTTCAAATTGTTGGTTTGGTAAAATTTATACTATGTTAGAAACAGCTATGGTTATTGTGGATGCGAGATCTGCATTCGATATTCTGAGAATTGGGTCTAGAGTTTTGTCGTAAGAGCTAAGATAAAGTTTGGAAGAACAAATATAAACTCAAAGGTTTGGCGCTATGTCATCGCCAAACCTTTGATCTATGTCCACATCCTCATCATTACCTTGTCCTTTCGAATAGCTTTTGAGGAGAATGAACACTGGTCACCAAAACATCCCTCACAGTGCCAAATTGGAGACCAGTTTTTTGCAGTTTAAGTGCATTTCGGCTTACGATATACTGTTCCATCCAGTTCCAAACCCATCTCTCACTCGTCTTTCCAGTCATTGAAGATAGGCTCGAAAATTTTGATAGAGTTTAGAAAATAGAGTTAGACTTTTGGGGAAGTAGTTCCTTAGAACCATGATATGAGAGTATCCTAGAATTGTGGATGGTCGCGCTAATGGAGTAAGTATTGCAAATGACCCTATCAACAATCTTGAAGAGATCTTTATCTAGGAGGCGCTTGCTTTTGAAGACCTTGTTGTTGCTTTCACTCCAAAAGAAATAGATGACTGAATGAGCAACTCTAAAACAGAGGATCCACGCAGAAACAAGTGCTATATAAGCGAATAAAACGAAATCACAAAACTTATAGCAGTAATCAAACATTAATTAAGTAAATCTCCATCAAAATTTTCATGTAAATTAAATAGTAACAAAGTATCATTCATTTTCATGGATAATCGTGAAAATATATTTGGAAGAAAAACATACAAAAAGATCTCTAAACACCAACTAAATCACCAAAATTCATATATTCAAGAAGAGAGATATCAATCATCGAGATCTGTTTCTTGATACGTTTTAATACTGCAGGCGTGATACTTTCTCATTCGAAACACAATCTACAAACATGGAACAGCTTATAAAGAACCTAAACTTTAGAAGCTTCTTTATACTCTACGTTTTGCAGAATCCCAAAACAATTTTAAATCAGAACATTGCTCAACAATCCCAAAGCTTCTCTCTCAGGTAGTGTGACTTCCTTATACTGAAATTTTTGCAGAATCCCAAGAAGTTATGACACCATCTAACCTCTTGATAATATCTGCTTCACAAGCATACCAGTTAGGTATAATCTTCAAGGCGTATGGGTACATATCTTTAACCGAGTTCTTGATCGTATTCTCCACGACTTCCGCAACAATCCCAATTTCTGCAAAACCAACAATCATCAGCACAATTACTTAGATTTAACAGTTACAGAGATAGAAGAAAAACAGTTCAGCTAGTAAGCCCTAACTTGTAGCGGAAGTTAAATCCAAATATAGAGTTAAGCAAAGAAGAATTATTCAGTTACCTCGAATAGGTCTCCTGTTGGTCTGAGATATATGAGAGATCATGAAGATAATTGCAGCAAGAACTGACTTAGGGTTTCTTCGGATATCGAAATTCTCTGCTTTGTCCACCGCTTCTCGAATCGCCATTATCTCTCTTTGACTTATATCTAGTTTGGAACAGAACCGGCGAACGAGTTCTCCAGTGTTGATAATCGCTTGAGCAGCAGACACAGAGGCTTGATCTGATTCAAGAACACGCTTTATCACCATACTTGATTTTCGGATATCCTTCAATTCAACACCGTTGGCAACCATAGCGATCTCTTTCAATGTCCTCGACAGTTTCAGTTCACGACAAGCCATTGAAACAGAGGCTGCACAAACAGCGTATAGCTTCTTCCCTCTGCGTAATTTCGTGTTAGCGTGACCATCGAATTTGGAGACAATCTCACAAGCCCTAGAGTGTACAACGATATCTAGGTATAGTGCATCAGTCATTCTCTGTATTTCCTCGAAAGCTTTCTTGATTAGATCTTCTTCATGGTTCTTGACTTGATTCTGCGCACGGCACAAAGTAGAGAGATCATCTTTGGACACAACAGAGGAAACGTTTTCTTTAGGTTTCTCGATGACGGTAACGAGATTGCCGGATTTGAGAAGAGGGTTCGTCGGAGCACCAACACGGTTTGGGTCTCTGTCACTGCGATTGTCGTCGGAGGCGAAAGTTCTCCATTCCTCAGAGTATTCGATGATGTGAGCTTCGAGGACAAGGCCACACTCTGAGCAGATGGTGTCGCCGCTACTGTGATCAATCACCGTTATGGTCGGTCTCTTGCAGTCCAAGCAAGTCTCTTCCTCCATCAACATCTTCTTAGGGTTTCTTTCTTCTTCGTAAATTGTTTTCAGGGTCGATTGGTTGATTTGTTACCCAACGCAGAGTATTTATAGAGGATGGAGTAAGGTAATTTCTTTTTCTAATAGGATTTTGATGGTTTTACTGTGTTACTATTTACTAATGGTAAAAGTAAAGTTTCTTTTTTTTTTTAATTTCCTTTTTATTTTATGAAGTAAGATAATTTCAACGGAAATTAATTAGTTTCCTTTTTTTTTTTTTCCAATTGTTGGGCTAAAGATTGTCCCAAACATTAAAAGAAAAAAAATGTTTTTTTAAGCTGCATATTTTATATATATATCAAAGAGTTACATAACATTAGTCTAATTTACAGATGATAGAGTACATTACATATATAAGTAGTCAAAACTATATACTAAAGCTTATTTTTCTGATTCCCTTAAGAATCTCTGATGGATATACACATCATTTTCTTCCCCCAAAAATCTGATGATCACAGAGGAAGACAATGTAGTGGCTCGGGCAGGTTCGTTGGCATTTGTATCCCAACTACGTATCTCTGCGGAATAGGTCTTGTAATGGTCTTTGCGCGGTTATGAAACTTGCCGAGATGGTTTATCACAGAGAATCTTTCGAGATCTTGGATTTCGAAGATGATGTCTAATATCGATGTAGTCCTCTCCAAGCTGCATACAATTTGAAAAAGAAAACGTATACTTAAGAAACATTAACATTTCAAGACAATTAACAAGCTGATTCATACCTCTTGAAGTCACTTTCAAGCTTATGTATTTTCTCCATGAAAGCATTAATGAGTGAAGAAAACTGTTGATCACTAGCTGTCTTCGAAGTTTGACGACTGGACAAAACATGTCTTTAGGGAAGTTAGCAAGTCATAAGAAACAGAGATAAATTGACATTTGAAGTCATATTGGCACTCACTTTATGCTCTTATTCAAGTTCGAGTGGCATTTGAGAGAAGATGAATCAGCGAGGGTCAATCTTGACATAAAGTAAAGCACGATTTCGTAGTTGAGAGCTGCGTTGTTGCCCGAGAAAACAAACGTTGGTGCTGGTTGGAGAAGCTGTTGCATAAGATGTGTGGATAAAACAAGCCTTCTCTTTGATGGAGATATTGCCTCATTTGTATCGACCTTATCATCAGACGGTAACAAGAACAAAATCAAATCTCTTTGTGAAGATCGACATGGAAAATTACTTAAGGAAAAATGAAAAATATAAGAGTATTGAAACCTTCTCACTTAGTGTATTTGTCGCAAGGCCCCATTCTTGTTCAGCAATTCTATAAAAAGCAAATGTTTAAACGTCAAATATGGTGAAAAGAATATATATAACATAATCATCATCAAGATTCAAGAATGTGGTATTAGATTGGTCTGAAGAGATGACCTGATGCTGTGACATAACTCTGAACCTTGTAGATAAATTTTGTGCCATGGTGATTGTAGAAAAGTTGAACTTTTACGCTTCTTCGGTCTTGAAGCAACCATGTTTTGGTTCAGACTGTTTGGTTTGGTCAGTCCAGAGTTAGACTTTTAGTCCATGTTTTGGTTCAGACTGTTTGGTTTGACCAACAATTGCAGAATTTTAGCGGATATTGTTGGAAGATTTTGAAAACTCTTCTAAAGAACATTTCATAATCCTTAGTTTAAAACCCAAACAGAACAAAAACAAACATTGAAAAAAGGAAAAAAAAAAAAAGAATGCTTTGTTACTCAAATAGTGAATGCATGCAAAAATTGTGAAGAAGAAATATCTGAAAACAGAGAGGCAAAAAAGACGAATTTCTAGAAGTTTTAAAAACAATTGGGAGAAATTAAAGAAACAATCAACATTAACAAGGAACAATATCCAGAAAAGGCAGTGGCATTTACCTAAGAAGAGCATGATCAAACACTGGATTCTGATTATACTTTCTTAAGATTTCGAGAAATTGCAGTTTCTTTTGCTGTCATAATTTTCCGGGAAAATTGAAGGAGAAAGTCTCGTTTCCTCTGCAAGAAAATTTAGCATTTGAGAATGCATGCAATAATTATCAAAACGAAATTATCTTTAGGATCTGATTTATGAACATGCAAATTAAATGATTTTAACATATGAAAACAGACAACAGAAGAGTCGAGAAAGTAACAAATTTCGAGGAAAAAAAAAACGATTTCGAGAAAGCAAATGTGTTAAAAGGTTTGAGAGGTCAGGTCAGTCCACTAATGTAGAGTAGAATAGCTATTATATACTAACGAATGGTCAATCCACTAAATACTAACGCCCAACTCTATTTTAAAAAATGAAATGGAATTCAAAGAATATTTCACATTACCAATAGCAATTGGAACGAAATTTTATATGTATTTTTGAACTTTCTAGTTATTACTAGGATTTAACCCGAGCAAAATTGTTTTTTATGTATTTTATATAAAAAATTATAATTTATTAAATTTTATTTTGTATCTAAAATTTTTATCCCGCGGTATATTGCGGGTAGATTTTTTTTAACTAAAAACTTTAAATTTTAAGTTATATTTCTTTTATTAATATTGTTTGGTTTGTTTAGAATTTAAGATTATACAATTATATTTTTATTTTTAATTCTAGGAATTTACCACTGGTATACCGTCCCGTATTGATATCGACCCAAACCCGTCCTAACATATAACACCGTCCCGTAAAATTAAACAGTATTTTGTTATTTTTCATTTTAATAATATTTTTATTTAAAAGACATATAATTCTAGTCAGTTTAAAATTTTGCATTAAATAGTTCCCATAATATATATAAATTTTATAGAGTTCAAATATTATAAACTTTTTATAGAACTTAAATATTATAAATACTCTAAATATTTTATAAAGTTTAAATATTTATAAATATTTGTAATGTTTAAACTTCTTATAAATTCTTATAAAGTTAAAATATTTAAAGTATTTCAAACTTCATAAAAGTTTTAGTTTTATAAATATTTAATTTTATAAAAAGTTTAAATCTATATATAATAGCAATCTAATAAATACCATATGCACATTTGAACGGTTGCGTCTTTTTATCGCAATTTTTCGTTAATGTTTTTATTAATTAAAATATATATTTTACGGTTATGTTTTTTTTTATAAATTGCATTCTGAATGTTTTCTACGGTTGCGTTTTTATTGTAACTCTTCATAAACAGTTGAAACCGCTTATTCGAATCATTGCAATATTTAGTTTATTTTACGAACAATTGCAACCTTTGGTTTATATATTTAGTTTATTTCACGAACAATTGTAATTTTTGGTTTATTTTATAAATAGCTATGACATTTAATTATCTACCGCCGCGTCTTTCGGTGTAACTTTTCATAAATTATTATTTTAATTCTTAATTTTTAATTACTAAAATGTATTTAATGAGATTGTAACTATTTAATTGAACTGTTTCAACATTTGGATTATTTGACGAATTATTGCAACTTTTGGTTTTGTGTTACGAACCATTCTTATCTTTAGTATATTTGATGAACTATTGCAACATTTGGTATAATTGACGAACCGTTGCAGTTTTTGGAATATTTGATATCTACGGTTGCGTTTCTCGGATAAGTTCGTCATATTTTAAAAAAATATTTAAATACTAAAATATATTTAAATGAATTGTTGTTACCGTTTAATTTAACACAATAGCATTTGGTTTATTTGACGTTGAACGTTTTTGCTTATTTATCAAACCATTGTAATATTTGGTTTATTAGTTTATGCTTTTTGCACTTGGGAATAGTTTTTTAGTTACAAATTATTGTTTTTCTAATATTAATATACTTAATAAATGCTTGTGAGGGTTTTCTTTATCATAATTTTTGTAAAATATATATTGATTTGTTATTAAAAAAAATCAAAATTATTACATTTTTCGTTTGATATTTTTTAAAATGATTTTTGAAATATATTCCCCCGCGACATCGCGGAGTCCTGAGTCCTAGTAATTATAATATTTACCTTTTAAATAAAGTTTAAATATTTATAATATTTTGAAACTTTTTAAAAGTTTCAATACTTTAATATAAAGACACAGAGTAAACCGGATAAATTAAACTTTTTGCTCATTTATATTTGATATCATTTTGATCCTTTTTATAGTATGACTCTGAACCATTGCCTAATTTTTAAGCAATATGAGACATTGTACACATATTGTTACTCCATCGATTGAGTAATATATGTGCGTTTTAAAAAATTTGAATCACATTATATGCAGAAAATCTATTATTTTACTAATTATATGTATTTTATATAAATTCAAAATAAATTAAATATAAGATCATAGAAAAGTGAAAGAATAATCATATATTAATGCTTAAATTAGGTAGAGAGGTGTCAGGAAATTAGCAATTAATCGAATTTAGAAACATAATCAATTTGTTATCATATTTGGAAGCCACAGTTTCTAAAATATTTTTTCGAAAATAATTTGTAATATTAATTAATAGATAAATATTTATGACAATGACATTCTATTGTAAATAAGTGTCAACTCTAAGATTTATTTCATATTTGTACTTCAAAAATGTATATATAGATGTTTAATTATCTCTTTTTTTTTCCATTTTAGTCAATTTACTCTATTTTTTTTTTCCCAAACTCACTCTTTACTTATGATTTTCCTACAGAATTATTTAAATCAGTATGAATCTCTAAAATCTTGTGTTCTACAATATTAGTACGATTCATGTTCAATTTTGATTACATCGTATTTAATTTTTTTTTCATATTATAATAATTCAAATAATTCGAATTAGGATACATAATACGATTATACTATTCAATGAGATTTGGATTCGATTTTGATAATAATTGTATTTTCTACAATTTTAATTACATATTATAATGATTTGATTCAGATATGATATTATTTTGTATTGTGTTTACTGGATTTTGATTATGGTGTAAACTTGGTTCATGTAGGCTTGCAATAATAATTTTAAAACAAAATTTGCCCAAATTTGTGAATACTTATTGTTTTTGGAATTTTGCATTAAAGTATGTTGAAAATTGAGTATAATGCAACCAATCGATTAAGCTTTGAATTTCTGCGACATCTTCAAGTTCAAAATGAAATGCTAACACCGAAATTGTTATGATTCAAATTTAATTTTAACTACATTATGTTATATGCTAATTAAATGTGATTTAGATTATGGTATGCACTTGGATCATGATATTCAATGCAACTGTAATTCGATTATGATAATCTACAACCCTGTTAATATTTGCAAATCTTGTCTCAACATATCGGCCTTCGATTACAATTCGGAAAACATATTCAGCGTGTACTTTGAAATGAAAGATGAGAAGGACAACAACACTTGTTGCAAGGTAACCAACAAATATTTCTAATGGATATAGATTCAGTCCCAAAAAAAATGCAGTTCTATAATGGATATCAACACTTGTTGCAGTCCATATATTCAAAACGTGCTTTAAACAAGTAGAGCCTGAGAAACAGAGCTAGAGCCGCAATAAAAAGAGGTTTAGTAATAGATTTTAAAATCTTACAAACGTCAGATTTTCTTTTTTTCTTGAAACAAAAATACATTAGTAAATGACTTAGCAGATCCGGCGAGGGAGGTTTTAGATAATAAAGGATTTTAAGTTTTACTCCCTCTGTATTTGAAAAAATGTCGTTTCAACTGTTTTTGGGTGAATTAAGAAAGGGCACAGAATTACAAAACTAACCTTATGAGAAACGATTATTTACAATTATATTTTATGAAAATCAATTTTTTCTTTTTTAAAAAAAAACTCTTCTTCTCTTACGGACAAGAAGAGAAAAGCTTAGCATCTCTCTTCTGTAACTCATCGCACACCTCTTCTTCTCTTCTCCCGAATCTCTCTTCTGTTTTCGTTTTCTCTGCTTTAATTTTTTTTTTTTGAAAGCATGTGAGCTAAAATGCAGAAAGATTGGTTCAATTTCAAGTTCAATAGAAAGCTGTCATCGGAAGTCAAAGCAATGGCAAATCCAGCGTTCTTGAAGCACTCGTCGGCCGTGACTTTCTTCCTCGCGGCAATGATATCTGCACGCGCCGACCTCTCCTTCTCCAGCTTCTTCAGACGAAATCTCTCTCCGATGGTGGATCCGATGACGAGTGGGGCGAGTTTTTTCACCACCAACCTCCTAAACGTATCTACGATTTCTTTGAAATTTGCCGTAAGATTGAGGTTTTTTCTTCTCTTCTAACTTCGTTTTGCCATAGTTTGGACTTCGGCGATGACGAAGAGGAAGGAGGAGGAAGTAGTAGATGTCGATTCTTTCGAGAAGAAAGATTGGACTTCGGCGATGGATTATCAGAAATCCAAGTCTAGGGATATATGCAATGAGGATGAAGCTGAAGCCTACGCTTGAGGAAGCACGAAGACGCGATAAAAAAATTAAGATGAACATCTAATGCTTATCACAAGTCTGAAAATGCGATTCATCATCCTCTCCTTTTCGCTTGTCAAGGAGTTCGATACAGGAAATTGGAAGTTATTCTTACAACGGTGAGGTTAATGGTTCTAAAAAGGCATTATGTTTCTCCTTTGATTTTGAAATTGGATTGAATTGAATCAGATGGGGGGGGGGGGGGGGGGGGGGGGTTTGTTTGATCTGGTTTTGTTAGGGTATTGAGAAGCTTGGCAAAGCCGGTGAGACGGTGAAGGTAGCTCCTAGATACTTCAGGAATCACCTTATGCCAAAACTCCTTGTTCTGCTTTTAGGGTTTTTTCTGTGTGATTTTCCATTTTTTGTTTGCTTTGAACAACAGAGACAATATTTATAATTCTACGTGTTGAATGTTTTTCTGGAATTTTTATTTTACAAACGATTCGTATCTGTAGTTTTGGTAATTTAGACTGATTAATTATGATCAATTAATTGGGGGTAATTTAGGAAATTTTATGCAAAAGTTGTTAAAATGACAACTAATTAAAAACACAGAAAAAGGCTAGAACGACATTTATTCAAATACGGAGGGAGTATTGATTTCTGACTCAAAATTAATTGGTATTGAATGGATTACCTTATATCTCTTATATATTAATATATATTTTTTGGTATGATATTTCTCCACACGTTCTTTGGAAATAATATAGCTCTTTCATTCATTAATCACGATATAATCCTCACGTCTTTTTCAAGATAATGCTTTTTTTCGGTACTTTAACAAAATGTATTAGGGTGATTGGCCTATTTCATTAAAAGTTTACTATCGTTGCTTATATCGATTGATAATCATTCTCATAATCATCATCGAGGTTAACAGCGGATGTATAACTCTAGTTTTGCAAGAATAAGATTTTTACTTAGGACATCAGCTACCAACATGACCAACAACTAACAATAATGGCCATCATGACCAACTTTTGTTTTGCTATCATTGCAATTGTTCGCTATATTTTCGTACTTGTAAATTTATAAATTCGTGAGAATTTATATTATTAAAGTTTAAAGAAATTATATATTTTTTCATTAATAATTTCTTTTAATAAAAATATTGATGAATAAATATATACTATTAGTGAATATAAATTCACAATTAATTTTTAAAAAATTAACTTAATTTTCTGTTTATTTTGCTTAATTAATTTTTAAAAATTTAATTTAATTTGAATTTAAACTTTCTTTTATAATCGCTATTATTTTTTTGAATAAAATGTAAAATTTATTCGAAAAACACGTTTTTACATCAAGTGCAGTGTTTGTTTTAGCGGCTTTTGAATACAAAATTTAAAAGAGAGCAAAGATGTGGGCGCCTATATTATCTTGAACCGAACCAAATTGCCATACAATTATCGTACTCCTATCACCATGTTCTCGAACGGAGGAGATTATGTTCCAGACTTGCTTATCAAGTCCTCGGATCATGTGAGCTGAGGGAGTGGCCGAGTGGGTACTTCTCCATGTCGACGACAGTTTCGTTTTTTCCATACTTAATGGACCGTGAGCTGAAAGGTGTATCTCATCAAGTACAAGCACTCATTCCCAAGAGACCTATCCGTGAGGAGCTTTATGACTGTTTACCAAACTATTGTGGATTGTTGCGAGACTAGTGAGTCCCGACCAAACCTCTGCCGAGTATGGACATGTGAAGAACAAGTGGCTGCGGGTTTCCAAGGGTTCATGACCGAAGACACATGATGGATCTACTCCGACATTCCAACATAACATTCTGTCCCCGGTAGTTGAGCGATTCTTTATCTCAAGCCAAATTGGATTAGTATTTGGGCGTGGAATGTGAGAACCAGATACCTTTATATCACTCTACCTTTGGCTTTGCTTCTCGAGTAGCTTCCCAAGTCACTTTTGTGCTGAATTTTGTTTTAAAACGATCACCCTTTAATTTTCCTTCCAACGCACTATGTCTTCCGCTTCTATTAACCCTATAGACTGTATGTCTTCGAGAGCTGTTTCCAACTGACTTAAAATATCTATCCGGCCGGTGGCGCCTCCTTCTATGACTCACTCTACTGCTTCAGCCACAGTGGCGTGAAGAGTGATCCCCATAGGCAATATCAATACAACCTCTTTTTCCTGTGATTTCTAAACCTACCGAATTGTGACCAATTAGCAAACCAAAAAGAGATTTTTTTTTTGGTTTAAAAAAAAGAGATATTTCTACCACTTTGTATCTCATTCTTTACAAACTGAGAAGCTAGAGCTCTATATTTGAGAGTAGCTTTTTCCACATCCAAGACCATGCAGATGTGTTTTCATTTATTGACCAGAAGGAGCCCTTTCGTAATGAGAATAACCGTAGCCATTGCACCCACAAAGATTTTGACGATAGCATTCTCCAAATAAGCTTTAAGCAACTAACCTTGTTTGCTTCTTTTAAGGTTTTGAGGCCTAACCCTCCTTCCTCCTTCGGTGTACATACATCACTCCACGCCACTTTTGCTTTCTTAGTGTTTAGCGGAGCACAAGCTGTCGATCTCCTTCATACACGCACTCGGTAAGCGAAAAGCGGACATCCAAAAATTGTTAATGAGTTGCAGACGACCAGCAAAGGATATGTGTCTTGACGTCCATTTACCAATTGGTGCTATGATTTTTTCTATAAGCTGCGTGTAGTCACTTGATGCCATTCTCTTTGTTAACAATAATTAACCGAGGTATCTAACAGGTAAAGCACCAGATTCGAAAGGAAAGGTGTGGAGAATCGCTTCCTTGTCACTCTCCTTCACACCGGCCATGTATATCGTAGAATTTTCGAGACTAATCTGCATCCCTGAAAACTATGCAAATTTTTCAAAAATCTGGAGAATTCCTTTAATAGAGCTTTTCCTCCATAATCGCTATTATTGTTCGTTTCATTGTGTCGCAATTGCTCACATAATTTGAAATTGCCTAAATAGTTATGGCTTGTTGTTGTGACATGTTGCTGCTATTAGTAGCTCCCACGAACAATATTTAGTGTATTCTTTCAACCGTTGTATAGTATATTTTGAATAATTGGACTCTTTCCTATATTATTCAAAATCTTTCAAGAAAAATTTAATGGCGTAGGTATCTTTGAAAAGCGACTCACTACTATTAAGTGTATAGGAAAGAACAAAATTGTATATGTTTGGACTTGATATATGATCATTGACGTTTTGAATGACGTTGTCTTTCGGTTCAAAAACAAATCCTAATGACATGAAAATATGTCACTGTGATACACAATCTATTTGCATATTGGGACGGGTTATGACTATGAAAGACCTAAACTCTAATTTTGTACATAGTAGAGATTATTAAACTTGATCTTGATTACCAAAGATGCAGTACATCATAAAGAGGATTTTACATAAGCACAAGTCTAAAATATACTTCCATAAAGCAAACGTCTAAACATAGATGAATGTAATGCATCAGAAAAGAGACTACAACAAATTTAAATCAGAACATCACTCAACAATCCCAAAGCTTCTCTCTCAGGTAGTGACTTCCTTATACTGAAATTTTTGCAGAATCCCAAGATGTTATGACACCATCTAACCTCTTGATAATGTCTGATTCACAAGCATACACTACAGGAAATGAGGGTATTAATAGCAGTACAGTATAGCGTTTTTAATTTTTTTGCTATAGTTGAGTTTTGAGAAAAAATTTATAGCGTTTTCGAAAAGACAAACGCTATAGTATAATAGGCGCGAAAATATTTCATAGTGGCGCTTAACTTTTGGTTCTATAATAACATAGATTACACTGAAAACGTTATCATACACATAACCGGGAAACCAAAAATTTCAGTGGCTCCAAAAGTAAAAAAAAGAAAAGAAATTATGAGGTCAAAAGTTAGGTTTCAAATTTGTTTCTTTTTCCCATTCGACACCTCTAATATCTCTTTCACTTTCTCTTTGCCGCAACACACACGGTGATCTCTGTTTCAATCTCTCACTCAGACTGGTTCCTCCATCTCTGTCTCGATCTCTCAATCACAGTCCTGTTCCTCTTACTTTCAATATCAATCTCTACCGGTCTCCGTTTCGTTCCCTATCAATCTCAGTATTGTTTTCGATCTCTGTCCTGATCTCCCACTCGCAGTCTCGTTCCGTTTTAATCATCGTCATCTACATCGGTTAATCGAATTGGTGTGGTAGAACTTGACATTGAAGGTGAAATTGTGTTTGGGTTTTTGGTTATTTGCACAGATAAAGGTTCTTTTTGGTTTTTGGTTAGTTCTTAGTGTTTTTTTTTTATCATTTAGAACAAAAGCGAAAAATAAAGTTTCGGTTTGGGCAATCGATTTTGCAAATCTGTTGAGTGTTTTACTTGATCTTCGGATCTTAATATTATGTTCCTTTTTTGTCATTGTGTAGCCAACAAATTCACAGGTTCTGTGGGATTATTTATGATTTGGAAAAATAGTTTTGAAATCTGAATTGATTGGTCTTTTGATGTTACATGAATTCAACATTGAGAAATTGCAGCTCGTTGAAGCAGAGAAGAAGAAGATTAGACAATAATATGAGAAGAAGGAGAAACAGGTCGATGTCATCATGTCAGAAAGAAGATGTGAGCTCTCTGATTGATTTTGTTTTGAGATCTGTCTCCTCTTTGGCTCATTGATTCCTAGTTTAATGGCATTGAGCGTTTAGATACTAATGATGCTAGTGACTGATTTTGTGCTTTAGATCTTGTTTCTTTAAGAGAGATAGATATAATGGTTTTTGTCTTGATTTAATCCACGACTAATTGTGAGTTTGCTTTGTTTCTTATATTTTGTAAAAGTGATTACTCAATGCAACTGAACGCGTCGAGTAATCAAGGTTCTACAAGCCCAAGATGACATTGTCAATGCAAGGAATTTCTGAAGGTTAGCCAACGTGGCTTTTTCAATCATCATCACCATCAGTATAAGCATCTCTTGAAAGATCTCATTGTTCAGGTTCAGTCTTAGAGTATAAACAAGCTCACCCGTTGTTTCTCTGAAAATGTGTTCTCTAAATTGTTTTTTTTTTTGGTATGTGTTGTAGTGTTTACTTAGATTGAAAGAGCCTGCAATGTTACTTCGTTGTCGTAAAGAAGACCTTCACCTGGTTGAGTCTATGCTGGATGATGCTAGTGAAGACTGTTGCGAGAAAGCAAAGGTTCATGCTCCTGAGATCATTGTAGACAAGGACATTTTCCTTCCTCCTGCTCCTTCAGATGATGATCCTCATGCTCTTTCCTGCTAAAATTTCATCAAACCAAAACACTAAAGACTATAACAGAACCAAAAACTCTAATACCAATATGACACTTGTGGATATATAACAGTGCAGGAGTGGTGTTGGCTTCTCGTGATGGAAAATCTTGTTTGAAAACATACTTATGGGAAGGGAGCTTGTCGCAAAGAAACCGATCAGCTTCCTCTTCTTCTGCCTCTACTCTCTAATCAAAACCTCAACTCCAAATTTATTGATTTCAATAGAATTCTATATTTACCATATTGCTTCTATCTTTTTATTGAATGGAAAAACTTGATTGCAGGAGCTATGATGTCAAGCATCTACGAGAAAGAAGAATGGGTTCTCATATATTATGTACAGTGGAGAAAACACATTTGGATAGTCAATTCTATGAATATGATAATTAAATAAATCTCAAGCTTATTAAGTCTCTTAGTGTGATGTTGTTCTTTAATGTAATCTAAATACTAAATACTAATTGGTCAACTTTTTCTTGTTCGTGCAATTTCTTATGTGAAACACATCGGGTTGCAAACAAGTTTTTATTATTTTGATAATTAAATAAAACAGATTTTTTTTTTTTGTAAAATCATTCTTTAAATATGTTATTGTAATCCAAAATAAATAAAAAATCAGTACGCAACCAATAATTAAAATTTAGATTTACAAAGTAAATAGAAGACACAACCAATAAAATAAAAATATTTAATATGAAAATTAAAAAGCTTTTTTAGGGTTATTAAAAATTAATGTAAAAACTTGTTTGCAAAATAAAGCTATAAACCGAAATATAACTATTTTGCAAATAAAGTTGATTATAAGTAAAATAATGTATTTATTTAGATTTACCAAATAGAAAAAATACACTATTTATATATATTTACAAACTCGATATAGAAATATTTAAATTTACAAAAACGTTTAATTTAACGTTTAGGGTATAGAGTTTAGGGTTTAGGGTATTGGGTATAAGAATATAGGATTTAATATATTATATATATATATATATATATATTTAGTGTTATTAAAGATAGAAATATAAATGGATTAATGAATTTAACCATTTTCAAAATTATAAACTCAAAACTCTAAATAATAAAACTTAAAAGCCAACCCCTAAATTGTGAATCTCTAACCCTTAAACTTGATTCACACATAAAAATTATAAGAAAACTACCTCTCGTCCTCCGGTTTCTCTCCGTTCGAATGGCATCCTTACCATCGGCTTCACTCTCTGCTCGTTGTTACAGGCAGGCTTGTGCTAGAATCGAAGTTTCTGTTCTCAATCTTCTCCGAATTCCATCTCCGATCTCTCTCTCGTACTACTTAATCTCGTGACTAAGTCCGTTTCTTAGATCGCGTTTTCTCAGATCAATAGGAAGAGAAGCAATAGTTGTTTCATATATATTCCTCTCTACTTCATTTACTAAGAGTTCATTGACGAATGCAAAAAACAGCTAACGCTTTTGTTAGTGGTAATTTGCTCAAAGTCATTACGCTTAGTTCTTACTTTACTATTTGTATCATTGTTTCTTCTTTGTGTTTTTATTTCCAGATATCCCCAATTTTAATTGATTTATGTTTATTCCATCATTCACGCAGAAAATGCAAAAAATTAAGACCCATGTTGTTGTTGTTGTTGTTCTTAAGGATATTAAAGAAGATGTTTCCAGGAAGAAAATGTTTCCAGGAAGAAGAAGTTTCAATGGAAGAAGGAGCTGTCGATGTATCTTTTTTTTTTTTTGCTAAAACTGTCGATGTATCTTTGTCAAGTTTTTTTTGTAAACAAAAATTATAGATTAAAGCAGAAGGCCTAGTGGGATCTATGAATCCAGTAAAATAGGCCCAAATGGATTAATGTATTTTTTATGTATACAATTATTTTTGTAATTTTTTGTCAAATTATCAGGTTTAATATAAATAAAAATCACATTTCTTTTTTAATTTGTATTAGCAAATAACCAAAATAATAATATATACAATTTGTACAAATACTGTATAAATACAACTTGTATAAATACAAAAAACAATCTACATATAACAAAACTGCTATTGTAATATTATAAAACATGCTAGATTAAATATATTAATAGCATATAATAATCGCTATTGTATATTTAAATATTGCATACAAAAAACTGCTATGTTATTGAATATTTCAATAGCATTTTTTATAAACGCTATATAAAGTGTCGGACCTATTATAACGGGCGCAGACATAGCGCTTTCTACTCCGCTGTAGTATCATTAGATAGCGGTTTTCAGACGCTAAGAATACCCATATTTCCTGTAGTGATACCAGTTAGGTATAATCTTCAAGGCGTATGGGTACATATCTTTAACCGAGTTCTTGATCGTATTCTCCACGACTTCCGCAACGATCCCAATTTCTGCAAAACCAACAATCATCAGCACAATTACTTAGATTTAACAACTAAGAAATTCAGTCAGCTAGTAAGCCCTAACTTGTAGTGGAAGTTAAATCCAAATACAGAATTAAGCAAAGAAGGATTATTCAGTTACCTCGAATAGGTCTCCTGTTGGTCTGAGATATATGAGAGATCATGAAGATAATTGCAGCAAGAACTGACTTAGGGTTTCTTCGGATATCGAAATTCTCAGCTTTTTCAACCGCTTCTCGAATCGCCATTATCTCTCTTTGACTTATATCAAGTTTGGAACAGAACCGGCGAACAAGTTCTCCGGTGTTTATAATCGCTTGAGCAGCAGACACTGAGGCTTGATCTGATTCAAGAACACGCTTTATCACCATACTTGATTTGCGAATATCCTTCAATTCAACACCGTTGGCAACCATAGCGATCTCTTTCAATGTCCTCGACAGTTTCAGTTCACGACAAGCCATTGAAACAGAGGCTGCACAAACAGCGTATAGCTTCTTCCCTCTGCGTAATTTCGTGTTAGCGTGACCATCGAATTTGGAGACAATCTCACAAGCCCTAGAGTATATAACCATGTCTAGGTATAGTGCATCAGTCATTCTCTGTATTTCCTCGAATGCTTTCTTGATTAGATCTTCTTCATGATTCTTGACTTGATTCTGCGCACGGCACAAAGTAGAGAGATCATCTTTGGACACAACAGAGGAAACGTTTTCTTTAGGTTTCTCGATGACGGTAACGAGATTGCCGGATTTGAGAAGAGGGTTCGTCGGAGCACCAACACGGTTTGGGTCTCTGTCACTGCGATTGTCGTCGGAGGCGAAAGTTCTCCATTCCTCAGAGTATTCGATGATGTGAGCTTCGAGGACAAGGCCACACTCTGAGCAGATGGTGTCGCCGCTACTGTGATCAATCACCATGATCAAGTCTCTTCCTCCATCAACATCTTCTTAGGGTTTCTTTCTTCTTCGCAAATTGTTTTCAGGGTCGATTGGTTGATTTGTTACCCAACGCAGAGTATTTATAGAGGATGGAGTAAGGTAATTTCTTTTTCTAATAGGATTTTGATGGTTTTACTGTGTTACTATTTACTAATGGTAAAAGTAAAGTTTCCTTTTTTTTTTTAATTTCCTTTTTATTTTATGAAGTAAGATAATTTCAACGGAAATTAATTAGTTTCCTTTTTTTTTTCCAATTGTTTGGTTAATGATTGTCCCAACAATATAAGAAAACAACTACTCCCTCCGTTTCAATTTAGTTGTCGTTTTAGGATTAAAATTTTGTTTCATAATAGTTGTCGTTTTAGGTTTTCAATGCAAATGTTTGGTAAAAATTCATGTTTTGTCATTAATGTTTTAATGTTTTGACCAATAAAAAAATTATAAAATATATTAATAAAGGGTAAAACAAAAAATTTAATGATTTTCTTAATTTGTGTGCGAAAACTAGGCCTGGGCATTCGGATTTCGGATCGGATTCGGTTCGGATTTATTCGGATTCGGATAATTCGGATAGGAGATTTTATTATCCGTTCGGATTTTATGACTATTCGGATCGGGTTCGGTTCGGATAGTGTCGGATTCGGATCGGATTCGGATTGGTTTTGGATCGGTTTTATGAGAAAAAAAACTAAAAAAATGTTCAATTTAAATAAAAAATAGTTTAATTTTACTAAAATTTGGCTAAGTTTTCTAAAAATATGTATAATTTTACCAAATATAACTAAAAACTTTCCGATATCTAGGTTATTTAAGATATTTTTGTTATTTGTTATAAAATTATAGCTAAATATAACTAATATTTTTGGAGATATAATTTTATTTTCGGTTTTCGGATATCCTTTCGGTTTTCGGTTCGGATCGGGTTCGGTTCGGATAATTCGGATAAGAGAATTCATTATCCGTTCGGGTTTTGTGACTATTCGGTTCGGATTCGGAGCCGGATTTTTCGGATCGGTTTCGGATCGGTTTTCGGATTTCGGATTTTATGCCCAGGCCTAGCGAAAACCTTAAACGACAACTAAAACGAAACGGAGGGAGTATTTTGTAACCAGAAAAAAAAAATATTTATACATATGCTAATTAAAAAACATTTTATACATTTGCCCCCAAAAAAAAAGAAGAAGATTTATACATATACGAATAACAAAACACTAGATTTTAACCCGCGGTACACCGCGGGATGATTTATTTTTAAAGTTCGTATATATAAAATTTTATAAATTACAAGATTAATTTTCGTTGGGTCTTTTTCAACCATGCTTGTGGAGTTTTTTGACTTAACAAAATTTTAATTAAGTATGATATTAATTTTTTTATTAGTAAGATTGTGCTTTAGAAAAAAAAACTTCTAAACAACGACCAAAAACTTTATGTGGATTGAATCAATTAGACGATTCATATTTCCTGTTGATAATGTATGTGAGACATGCGTGAGATCAGTTACAAAATCGAAAACTTGCTTTGATTACATTTACATATATGTAGTCATGTAAATGTCTAACTTTCGCAATTTCGTTCAAAGTCGGCATTGAGTATTGGTGTAAAAGGTGATATTAACTTTTAGTAGATATGGCATGTGGATGTAGTGATAATTGATTAAGAACAATAATAAAATCCCGAAAACTATAATCTACCGAGCGAAAAAAGTGCAAGTGATATAATAATTAATGGTTTAGATCATGATTAGTATACTTGTTTTGTTTTGTCTTTTTTGTAAAGAATGTTAAAGTGTATAATTCAAACTTTTTTGAGATTGTTTTTAATTTTATTTTGGTTTTGCTATCAATTAAGATAGCTCGAAAAGTCAACTACGTGAGTTTAATGGATGATTTCGGAGGAACAAAATGTGAAGAGAGTAACTAAATTTCGACAATAAATGCTTTTTACTGTTTTTTTCTTTACTTACAAACTTTTTATAAAACTAAATATGTTTTTAAAATTTTAATTTGACTGTTGTTATAATAACATTCTATCTGATTTTGCATTAAAAAAAAGATATATTTATTTTTTCTACGTAGGACAACTGAAACTATTGGACTGGTTTTGCTATTACTTGAGACTCATACTCTCACAACTGGTTGGTAACAGTTTGTCTCATGAAAAAGTAGGGGACTCTCTTGGAGTTAGACACTAACTGATTCACCACTAGCACCAGTCACTTCCACTGCTAATCTTATGCCTTTCGGGTTCATAAAAATCATTGACAGCGGTGATCTTGATGATGTTACTCGATGCTGCTCCATCAATCCATCCTCCTTAGGAGTTGATGACGTCTTCCCCAAGGAGGATTCATCTCATTTAACAGTGAGGCACTTCCACATGCTTCTAGACAAAGACGAAGAAAACCTGACCAGCCTCTTGAACATGGCTTCCACAATGGTGCCTTGAAGTTCTATATTATCTATACATTTAGTAACCCTTATACCACTTGCCCAGGCTAATCAAAGACTTTGCTGAAATGCATGTGCCGGTACCAAAAAATCTGAGTTAACATATCCCGGGTAATATGTAATGGAGGTTTTGACAGCCTAACTTAAACTTCCAACTGCTTTGCTAAAGGCTTCAAGGTTAAGATAGTGCCTTCTTCCCACACTCACCGAGCCTCTCCTAATAGTAAAACGTGTCTTATCCGAGATGAGGTCTATCAAGAACACCACGACATCACCAACTTGAACCGATTTTTCTCTCACAAAAGAAGCCCAATCATCAGTCATTAAGTAATCTTGATGCTCGGATCTGAACATGAGCTTGAACGTCCAGTTTTTCTCAGCAAAATCTATCACCTTAAATGTGGTAAACTGGTCAGAGGCAGAGCACATTCCTAAAAAGCTCCGAGTGAGCGAGAGTTGTTGAAGATCCGCATGTTCATGGATTGGCTTGGCTAAAGGATATATCATATGCTGCATATATGGCCTTGGTGGCTTAGGTAGAGTATCACGATTTTCCCCAAATAACTGCGTAATCTCAACTTTTGCAAATACCTCATCTGTCATCGGATCAGCCATCAGTCCGACATCATTAACACGACAGTGCATGGGAGCCATATACTCAAGGGCAGATAACACTTCCAAGGAAGCTGAGCAGTGATCCGCATGCCCTTTAGGAATGTAGGTGACATGATCATTGACGTAAGGAGCTGCAACCTCTGCACCTGCGCAAGCATTCCAAAGATCTCTCTAACTAGTGTACCGTCAGTTTTGGCATATATCGACATTGCAAGGCTCCAACTGTTTCCGTTCAAAGAAAGACAAGAGATTACTTGTGTTAGAGAGTTGACGAACATGTTTTATACAGAGAGTATATCCTAATAAACTGTTAAAAATTTGAGATCCAAACTGTTTTGTTTGGTTTGAATCCGAGTATCCCAAAACAACATCAATTCTATACCAATAATCCCAGCGAGAGTTCTCAAAACCTGTTGGTTTATAGACATTGACTAATTGGCGTCCGGCGGTTAGAATTTTGAGTTTCGTAACTCAAACACACATTGTTTTTCAAAAATTATGCTTCTCGCATCCGCACATCGGCACATATCAAATTAATGGGCCAAAGCCCAATTATCGTCCACGTTTTTTTTTTGCTTAGCTGGCATCAGCTCCTCTGTACTGGGACCCATACCTCCATGCTGGCATATTTGACCAACACACGTCAATACTGTTGACTTTAACTAAATAAGTAAATAGAGAACAAGAAAAACAAAATATTAAAATATAATGTTGTTCACTTGGTTGCATATGCCCGAGAATCTCGGGCCGAGAATGAATCAAGTTCGTGTATCATATCTATATGGACTATGGTATCAATATCATGTGTGATGTATGTATATTCATAAAAAAAAAAAATGTATATTCATGCATGTACGCAGAGTTTAAACTATAATTAAAATGATGTAAAAATTTCTAAACCATAAAATGACGATGCGATTTCTTTTGCCAAGTCGTTTGTTTCTACGTTATATTAATTCGTTTTATTTAGTGTAGTCACTATTTCGTAAACGTCATCCATATGTTTTTTTTATTTCTCGACTGTTATAGACTAATAAAAATCTAGGTGACCAAAAGAAACTAATAACCAAGGTTAATAAAACTCCAAAAAGTAATAATTTGTTGGGGGCTATCGCAACCGGAATTAAAGTGTCTAGACTAAACATTGGAATTATTTGCTATATTTAAAGAAGAGATTTTGCATTTGTGAGTTTGCCATATTAAGTATTTTTGAAGAGTGACTTATTCGAAACTAACCAAAAGTTCATTCTTTTTTTTTTTTTATTACCAAAAGTTCATTCACACTATTCATTCCATATAAACGCATTTTTTCTTAGTTTTGAATCAATATATGGCTATTAATATTACACAAATTCATTCAAAATCGAATGTCTATATTATATATGTTTAATTAATTAATTAAGGGTACGATTTCTGTAGTTGATATTAATGTATTATCAATGTGCTCAAACACAATTTAATCATTTGAATATGTAAGTGATCGTTATTTTCGAAATAGTAGAATCGCTAATCTCATAGAGTTTGCATGGTGTAACTGTTTGTTCAAGTATGTAGAAGATTCCTCATGTGGATGAAAGTCAGTGACTGAATGTCACCATTTACAAAAAATCGTTGTAGATACAACTTTGGTTCTTGTAGATGTTTTATATGCAAATATACCACTTTTTATATATTTTAAAATTAGTGTTTTGGGATTGACTCATGATATATTCTGGTACCAAAAACAATATGTATATATATAAAAAAAATCACATATTGAAGTGTTAGTCGATGTTAACTATGTTTAAAACCGAATGTTGCACTCTCTTGGCAGCTTTTGAAAAATCTCAACATTTGGAATCTCTAGGATTCCACCAGCTAAATTGTCTTATACATTTCTCAGCAAAGCAACAACAATTCGATAATTTCTCTCCCTTTCAGCGCAAAAGAACCCGTCAACAATCACATATGTGTTTTCTTGACTAGTGTCACTAGCAGTGAATCGGACATCTCTTTATGATCGGCAGAGAAATATCTTTCACCATCAACACTACATGGTTGCAACCAAAAAGTAATTTGTGCACCACTTGTTCGACGGATCCAGAAAAAGAATTAGTATGAGGCAAATTTTAAGTATTTGGTATATTTTAAAAAATTTAATTTTGTCAAATTAGAGAAAATTGCATGACTTTTTAGAAAATATGATTTTCATTGATTTTTATATCTTTATCTATGCAAATGTTTTAAAATTATATTAGTTTTATATATCACACCAAATTTAGATTCTAAAATATTACATCAAAAGATATAATAAAAACAGAAATAATATAACTTACTAAATTTACTACATATTATTTTTATTAATATATTAAAATATAATGATCGACTTTTAGCGATTTAAAATTAATTTGGTTAAAACTGAAACCAATGAAAAAAATATGAAAGAAACGTAAATAGATGTCAACATGTAAAGATAAGAAAGAAAAGAAATATCATATATAGTGTAAGAAATAAAAAGAAAGGTAATAATATAAAGATGTCAACCAAAAGTAAATGTGAGATGGGATACTCGAACTCGTCACTCTCAACATATATAATACTAGATAAGGACCCGTCCAACGGACGGGTTTAATTTTTTAAAAATTAAAATCAAATTTAACAAAACATTAAGTAACAACGCTGTAGATAGAAATTTTCTTTCATAAGTAAAAACAATATTTACTTTTTCATTGTTGCATTGTTTCTTTAACCACTAAAATTATTAATTCAATATTATTTCGAATGAAAGATATATCACATAGCAATAACTCATGGTATACTTATATGAAGAACAAAAATTAAAAATATTCATCATAAAGTTGGTGAATGAAACCAAAGTGGTGTTTAATTAGACACGTTAAAAATATAAAAATGATAAATCGACTAAATCTCTTAGCCTTCTAAGCTAATGTTGCGGGTTCGATTCCTATATACTCGATTGCAATGACTTTATGATCAATCAATAAAAATCGATAATTTCAAAAAATTATAAGCACGATGATATATGAATCTTATATAATTCAAATATGAACATAGAAATTTAAATAAACAATTTTGAAATAGTATAATTAAATTCAAAATATCAAAAAACAAAGGAGAAGCATATATGGTTCTTACATATTCAAGAATTTCAAATAAAACAATATAAAACTTTACTTAAAATCATCGCATATTTCTAATTAGAAAATAAAATTGATATAAATAATGTAAAGTTTTAATTTAAATCATGACACATGTCGCTATCTAAAATCATTAGAACTATGATATATTATAAATCTTATATAATTTAAACTGAACGTAGAAACCAAAATAAATAATTTAAAGATACAATAGTTAAACTAAAAATAAAAAATTATAAGCACGATGATATATGAATCTTTGATAATTTAAATATGAAAAGAGAAATCGAAGTAAACAATTTAACAATACTACAATCATAATTGAGGACGAACAAAAAAAATAGTTAAGTAAAAAATTATTACAAAAAGGAAAAAAAATTGATCTCTCATAATTCTAATTGAAAAAATAATTTCCTTATTACAAAAAGGAAAAAAAATTGATCTCTCATAATTCTAATTGAAAAAATAATTTCCTTATTATTTTCTTTTGACATTTTTTAAATTTTTATAGAAATATTAATTATTTATAATTATCTTTAATTATTTAAATTTATAATTACTTTCAATTATCTTTTTTTTTTTTAATTTTAAAAAGGAAATTTTTGTTTTACACGTGTCAAAATCTAAGATCGATAGATTTGCCACGTGTCAAGATCCTATGAGTTATTAACTTTGAAAACCATACTTTATATAATAAGATATCTCCTTATAAAATATTTATGTTTTATAGTTTATAATTATTATCAAGTAACAGTATATCACGAGTTCACGGAATAATAATAAACGGAGGATTTGATTCGTATTAAAGCGGCATGTTAATGATATTTTAAAATTTTATAAATATTGATTCAAACCCGTTCGCCATATAAATCCGTTCCGAAATATAACCCATCCCATAATTTTTAACCCGTCCCGTGATTTGTTTTCTAAAAGTAGTGATTTTAAAATTTAATGATTTTTATTATATATAAAGTTTATAAATTGTATCATTCTCTAAGACATTTATATTTTAAGAAACAGCCCAAGGAGGGAGAAAAAACAGGTGGGGCTAATCGAGTGTCAAAGAAAGGGATGGTGGATCTCCCGAAACCACCGGCTCATACGTGAAGATAATGAGTTGGAACTGTCAGGGAGTAGAGGCTGATCTGACAGAGAATTATTTAAGGGATCTATGGAGAACGCACAAGCCGGATATTTTATTTTTATCAGAAACTAAAAGATGTTTTGCTTATTTACAGAGATTTCAATCTCAATTTGGTTATAATAATTTGTATTCAGTTGATCCTCTCGGTGCTAGTGGAGGATTAGCTTTATTTTATAATAATGAAATAAATTTAGAGATTCTCTACGAGAGTAATCGAATAATTGATGTTAAAGCTTTATTTGGAAAACAATTAGTGTTTATGTCTTTTATCTATGGGGATCCCGTAGCTACAAAACGTGATATTGTTTGGGAAAAAATAACAGAATTGGGAGCTAATCGGAAAAAACCATGGTTAATGATTGGAGATTTTAATGAGCTTACCGGAAACCATGAAAAGTCGGGTGGTAATTTACGGTCCGCAGCTTCTTTTGTCTCCTTTAATCTCATGATTCGAAATAATGGTATGTTAGAATTTCCATGTTATGGGGATCAATTATCATGGAGAGGTAATAGAAATCAACAGATTTTCAGATGCAGGCTTGATCGGGGTCTAGGGAATGAGGATTGGCATAATTTATTCCCGTTTTCTAAAGTGGATTATCTGGATATGATTGGATCGGATCATAGACCAATTTTATTAAGTTGTAGGAAGATGTGGAGTAGAAGGAAAAGACAGTTTAGGTTTGATAAGAGATGGGTTGGTAAAGATGGCCTTTCGGAGGCAATAGATTCAGGGTGGAATCGGACAAAAAATTTCAGAATACCCGTTTTTGTGGATAAAATTAAAAATTGTCGAAATTCAATTTCGTGGTGGAGAAAGAATAATATTCCACCGGGTCAGGCAACTATCTCTTCTCTTAAGATGGCTTTGGAGGAAGCAAAGAAAGATGATTCGATTCCTCAAGGGGAAATTTTGAGAATCGAAAATAAATTAAAGGAAGCATATCACGAGGAGGAGATTTACTGGAAACAAAAAAGTCGAAATTTTTGGCTAAAAGTGGGAGATAAAAATACCAAATATTTTCATGCCGCTACAAGAAAAAGAAGGGCACGAAATAAGATTTCAGGCCT